GTCTCTCTGGCAAGGGCCAATACGGAGCATAGGGAAACGGGGGGACTGGTGGATTTGGTTTACGGTTGCTGTGTCCTCGACCATGTGAAATCCAATGGGCTGGCTACACGTCCTTTCTTTTCCTTTCCATTCCGCCTTGATATGCTTTTCTTTGGAGTAGCGGACTTTTAATGCCACGCCGTAATGAAGACGTTTTGCAATATTTATTGTTGGCAAGTGCATAAGGCAGCTATGCGAAGAAACAAAACGACGCCGTGAGGAGCTTGTTGGCTTTGCGAGAGCCGCTGTAGGTCCGGGGTAGAGAATATACATAGAAAAATAAGATGGAGAATCGGATAGATATGGAGGGTGACAGACACGCAAAAAGAAGTCGCGGAAACGGCACGGCCTACAGGTCTTTTTGCTTCGGCCACGATGCCGATGCCGCTCTTCAATCGCCGTTTTCATGTTTCCCGCTTAACCCCGCAAGCAAGTGAAGCAAAAGTCTCTCTCGCAGGTAAACCCGCCCACGCCGCACCGTCTCATGTGCCCACCGGGCGTCTGGACGATCGAACCCGTAGGACTGCCCAGGCTGTCCGTGGTCCTGGGCTTGGTCGGGGTGCTGAGGCCGCCGAAACCCTCCCGTGCGATGCGTAACCGCGCGCTCCCCGTGGCTTGGGCGGTTCCGCTGTGTCCGCGTTGCGGGGTGCGGCGGCCAAACGTGGCGTGTAGGGACCGAGGGGTCCGGGGCGTGAGGGAGCCGACGACGCGCTTGGGTTTGATGGTCGGGCGACGACGTCGAGCGGAAGAAGGGAGGCTGTCGGGTGTGGCTCCCACGTCGCCGGGGGACTCCCTTCTGGTGCTGGGTTTCTTGATCGGGGAGGAGAGGGAGATGGGGCAGGTTTCGTCTAGGTCGTCTAGGTCGTCATCGTCGTCGTCGTCGTCGTCAGGGCGTATCTGGAGGGAGAGGAGGCCGCGGCGGATCGTAGTCGAACTTGGCTTCGAGAAAAGTGTGGAGCGTGGTTGTGCTTGCGGGGTCGAAAGGTTATCGGCCTCGGGTGGTCTGCCCTGCTCGACTGCCGTAGGGGTCCGGGGTCTCTCAGGTGGCCCGGTGGCGGGAATTGGGCTCGCTATTTCCGCGGACTCTTCTTGGACAGGACAGGATCCCCGCGCTGGCGTGGTTTCTTCTGTTGCGGGTTCGGACGACTCTCCATCGGAAGATTCGCACTCACTAACGTGTTCACTGCCCTGTGGGAGGGTTGTTGACGAGTCCACGGCAGTTTCGGTGATCTGGCCCTCAGATGAAGCGACGGGGGATGATTGAGGCTCATGGCGGGATTCTGGCGTTTGCTCGGGAGTACATTGTTGTTCTGTCGGCACACGCGTTTCGACATTCGTCTCGGCATGTGTAGGCGTACGAGTACCGGAGCTTTGCTCCTTGTCCTCGTCCCCGTCTTCGAACATCTCTTGGTCGTTTTCGGAACACTCGATTGAAACTTCGACATCCTGAACTGCCTTGCCACCGCATTCGCGTTCTGTAGGTAGGGTAGGGCTGCCGCGAGAGCTTGTCTCGGTGTCAACCGCCTCGGAAATGTGAGAAGCCTCTTTTTCCGATGCAGGACTATCGCTCCTTTCCTTCGGGCTCTCTTCCTCTTCTTCCTGGCTTTGTCTCGCCGCAGAGCGCGTCGTTCGCACCGGAAGCGAAAAGAGGCGAAGAGCCGGGACGGTCGGGGAAGCAGAAGCACTATGTCTTTCAGATTCGGCCCATGACGGCGGCTCAGGAGTGGTCTCTGCCCGTTCGGCTGCTGGTTCCTGTGCTGGCATCTGATGAGTTGGCGCCATGGCCGAATCTTCGGGTATCTCAATGTCGTCGTCGTTATTGTCGTCGTTATTGTCGTCGTCGTTGCAGGAGACCTTGATCAGTTCTTCATACTTTCTCTTTTGGCTGCGTGTCAATCGGAAAGGCGCTTCTGCCGTCTTGACTGATATTCGAGTGTCCGGGGCCTCTGGTCGCGTTCTTCCAAGACGAGACATGGGAATGCCATCTTCGTCCCCCGAGAATTCATACGACTTGTCAACTTCGTGTCTCGTGAAGGTCAAGGTCTCCTTCAAGGGCTGGGCCACTGATGGCTCTTCTCTTGTCGCATCAGAGCAAGGCTCGCCCAAAGCCGGGACGGCCGGCTCTGCCGAGGCACCCTCTGATTCCGCGGGTGGGGGTGAAGGAAGAGCTGGCAAATCGTGCACCGGAGGGCTCGGCACCGGCTGCTCCGGAAAGTCGCTGAGATCGGTATACCCGCCTGGTGTCAGCAGCCGTGAGGGAAGGACAATCTCTATCCTCCGCATTTGGGTCTGGGTTTGACCAGGCCACTCTTCGCCAGACACACTTGACCGAGTCGGTCCTGACTTGCCACTCTTTGCTGGTTTCCGAAGGTCTGCTGCGGGTGGTCGCTTGGTTTTCGCGGGTTTAGTTTTGGGTTTGGGTTTGGTTCTGGTTTTTGCCCGTGAGGGGTCTTTGTTTCCTTTTGACCCCTTCTTCCCGGACTTCGGGTCGTCTCGTGTGGATTGGCGATTACTTGTTTGCTCAATGGAGTGGATTGCCTTGTCCGTATGCAGTGCACCGCTGGAAGAGCGATCGGTGGCTTTGGATTTGTCGACGGGCCTTTTGTCTTTCTTTCTTGCCGGTTGGTCCTGAATGTTTCTCGACGGCGCTGAACCGGGCGCAGGCCTGCGACCTGATTCTTTATTCGTTCCGTTCGTTCCGTTCGCTCCGTTCGCTCCCAGGCCGAGAAGCTCATCCTCGTCGTCGTCATTCGCCGGAGGGGCAGCCAGTAGTTTTCGAAACTGGGGCTTTCTGACTTGCAAAGGTCCACTCTGGCGAAAGTTGGATGGAGTGATCCGCCGGATGGGAGACGGAACCCGGGGTGCCTCTCTGTCGAGGCGTCGGGAAGACCACACTGATTGGGAGCCATCTACCGCCGGAAAATCGTACCTCGCGTTAAAGAATCTGGAAGTGAAGGTGTGATTCAACCCTGGTGGCGGCAACGGAGGGGCTCTCCATGCAGGGTCGACCGTCTCTTCTTGTTGGTCCCATCCCCAAGAACCATAAGATGACGACGCCGGCAGGGAGAGGGCTGTGTGGGGTAAGAAGCTGGTAGATGGGCGTCCTTGGAATGGTCGTTGGATCGGTGTCATGACTGCACCTCGGGTAGCTGCGTGGAGGACTGGGCCAATTTTCTGGAGGGATCGCGATTGGGGTCGAGGACGGGAGTCGGCATGAGCATGAGCATGAGCATGAGCATGAGCATGAGCATGGGCGTCTGGTTTTCGTCCTTGTAAGATGCGATGCTCCTCGCCTTCCTCGTCCGCTTCGTCGTCTTTGTCGTCGTCGTCGTCGTCGTCGTCTCCATCCGTTTCCGTCTCAGATCCGACGTAATCTCCCAGAAGGATCCCTTCATCCTCTTCCTCCCCCCCCTCTTCATCCTCAATTCGCCCCACGTCCCTCTCATTTTGCATGTTCTGGATGTGACCATTATCAACCACGACCTTGCCCGTCCGGAGGTCAATTTCGTCGCCGATGCCCGTGAAGTCCCTTTCATACTTTGCAAAGATGTGCTCAAAGGTCGATTTGAGTTTGTACGCAGCAAAAGCTCTTGATTCCTCCAATTGGCAACCGGGGTCTCGTAGCCGGGAGACTTCTTCGGGCTCGTAAAGCAGCTCATCGTCGTCCTCATCGCCCTGGCCTTGCGTAAGGCTTAGCCTGGGCCTCTTAGCCGGCGGCTCCATGGGAAGTCGTCTGAGTGCATGGATGAAGAAGAATGGAGAAGGTTGTTGCAATGAGAAGGAACTCGCAAGTAGTTGTTGTATGCAGTGAAGGTGTGAATCTGCAGGCAGGAATCGGAGTATCGGAGTATGGGTAAAGGTACTGTATGTGTATGGTATTGATGGGTCTCTTAGCAGTGAACTCGAGACTCACAATGAAGAGGTCACGACTCGATTCAGGATGGGATGGTACATGAATGATTAGTAATTGTCAATGACGCGCTTCGAACGCGTCGGCGGGGAGGTGGGGAGCTGGCTGACCGTGTTCGAAGCTACCTACCTAGGTGTGTACATACCTTACCCACCCTGCTTATCTCAGCAAAGAGCTGTCTGGTCTCGACGTCACGTCACCCCATCTAAAGTACTTCGTGTACACGTACTTCGTTACTTCGTACGCTATACGTCTCTATTCCATTTCCCGTCACCAAACACTTCTCCCATCTCTCACAAATGACTTCAGCACCATCATGATAACTCGGTATTGTCTGGACTCATAACAACAAACCATGTACTGCCAAAAATGCCGGGCGCCTCTCAAGGTCGACAGCTCACTGGAAGATCTGAACCCTGCTGCCTATGATCTCCTGATAGGTTCGTATCCTAGGACTCAAGGCACAATCCCCCTCTTAACGTAGCCTCCCTGCTGACGCCTCGGAAAAGCCTCCTCTTCCCAGCAACCGCCAAAGAAACTGCACTCCTCCAGGCCGTCATATCCCCAAGACCAGCAGCGCAAAGCCATCTACGATAGAGCCTCCCAGAATGCGGGCCACCCAACCATCAAGCGTACCGCAGTTGGTGCGCCATCACAGCGAGATGCCACCATGTCCTTCATCTACCTCACCGAGTCGCAAGTCACACAACCGACCCCCCCGCGAGCCAATAACTCTTCCCATCCCACCTCTCCTCGGGCCACTCAACACGGGGGCAAGGTGAACCGGGAGAATGGCGTGCCCAAGGGCTACGAGATGGAGCGCGTCAACAAGCTCTTCGAGATCCTCTCCTCGCGCTCCGACATGGACCACCCCGTCTGCGTCGAGTGCACCGAGATGCTCGTCGACGGCCTGCAGAAGAAGCTCGAGACCGCGACGAAGGAGAGGGACGCCTACGTCTCGTTCCTCAAGCAGGTGCAGGCCAACCAACCGAGCGAGGACGACATCCAAGCCCAGCAGGAGGCGCTATCCAGGGCCAAGCAGGAAGAAGCTGACGCGATGGGCGAGCTGCGCCGGCTCGAGAAGGAGAAGGCCGCCGTGGACCGGGAGATGGCCGCGCTGGAAGAAGAGGCGAGGGCGCTGGACCGGGAGGAGGAGAAGTTCTGGCGCGAGCGCAACGCCTTCACCACCAAGCTGTCCGAGTTCCAGAACGAGCGCGACAGCGTCAACTCCAAGTACGACCACGACGCGCGCCTCCTCGAGAAGCTCCAGCGCTCCAACGTCTACAACGACACCTTCTGCATCAGCCACGACGGCACCTTCGCCACCATCAACGGCCTCCGCCTCGGCCGCCTCTCCAGCAGCCAGCCGGTCGACTGGCCCGAGATCAACGCCGCCTGGGGCCACGCCCTCCTCCTCCTCGTCACCGTCGCCGAGAAGCTCGATTACCGCTTCGACGGCCTCGAGCCCCTGCCCATGGGCAGCACCTCGCGCATCATCCGCTACGAGCTTCCCTCGCCTGCCGCCTCCAGCCGTCTCGTCGGTGGTGCCAGCCAGCGCGGCGTCGCCCCCGTACAGCCGCTGCCGCTGCCGCCGCCGCCGCCGCCGCCCAAGAAACACGTCCTCGAGCTGTACTCCACCGGCGACCTGCCGCTCCTGACCTTCATGCACCGCAAGTTTGATAACGCCATGGTTGCCTTCCTGGAACTGGTCCGCCAGCTGGGCGCCTTCGTCCACCGCCAGACCGCCGCCGAGGGCCACCCGCTCACCCTCCCTTACAAGATCGAGGGCGACCGCATCCACGACGTGAGCATCAAGCTTGGCATGGCTCAGGATGAAGGCTGGACCAAGGCGTGCAAGCTCACTCTGACCTGCTGTAAGTTTTTGCTGGCTCATGCGAGTAATGTCAACTCTAGCGCTAGGAGCTCGGGGACTTGATTCCGGTCGTATTGTCTTGCTTTCTCTTTTTTTTTTTTCTTTTTCCTCTTTCTACGTGTATGCACAAGGAAGCCTGGCGTTCGGGAAAGGAGTCATCATGCTATCGGGAATCCGGGTGTCATCTGTGTTGGAGGGACGGGCGTTCAAACATGACATGAATCGGGTCGAATCTTCACTTCTAGGGCAAACACGCAGGGGCATTCTCAGTTAGTAGGCTCATGGCAGAGGGCTGGATAGCGAATTCTGCCAAGACGAAGCGGTTATGTGTTTTTCAGTGCTGGCTTGATTCAAAGCAACCTCTTGTCTCCTCTTGTCTCCTCCTGCGACCTCCCTGGGAATATGGGTATACCCCTTATCCCCTGAGCCATGGGATGGAGGGCGGGTATTGCTACGGTTATTTTCTTATCTCACATCTAGAATTATGTCGCTCTGGAGAAACAAAGCCACCGCTTCGCATATGAACCAAGTGACGTTGTGTTGCCTAAGAGGGCCAGAGTCCAGTATATATAAAAGACCAAACTTTTGATGAAGAAGCGGCTATGATCCAAGCCAAGCCGAGACGATATGATGATGCATTCTGAATGCTCAACATTGTCGAAAAAAGAAAAGAAAAAAAGGCAAACGACAGTCTATTTACCATCCGAACCATAAAGAATATCCTTCAACTTTTCCTTCTCGCCACTCTCCTCACACATACCCCTAAACACGCCACCTTCCCCCTTCTCCCACAATTCCCTCGGCGCGCCAAACTCCGCGACTTGCCCCTCACTCAGCACCAGAATGCGATCAAAGTCAGCAATGGTGCTAAGCCGATGCGCGATGACCAGGAGCGTCGACTCCATAAACTCCTCGCGGATGGAGCGCTGGATAAGCGCGTCCGTCGCCATGTCGACCGCCGACGTGGCCTCGTCCAGCACCATGACCTTGGGTCGGGAGAGGATGGCGCGCGCCAGGCAGAGGAGCTGGCGTTGGCCCTGGGAAAGGTTGAGGCCGCCTTCCGCGACGGGCGAGGAGAGGCTGCGGAAGGGGTTGGTGTTCGTGCTCCTCGGCGTCGGCGTGGCGGGCTCGGGGGCAGGGTCCGGGGCGGATGATGACGATGATGACGATGATGACGGTGACGATTCACCGGGCGGCGGCGTACCGGGTGACGAATCGAGAAGGTGGACGCGCCGTAGGGCCTCGTAGAGCTCGTCATCGGTGCGCTCGTCGAACGGGTCGAGGTTGAAGCGGACGGTGCCGGAGAACAGGACGGGATCCTGGGGGATGATGGCGAGGCGAGAACGCAGCTGCTGGAGCTTGATCTTGGCGACGTCGACGCCGTCTACGTGGATGGTGCCGGACCGCGCTTCCAGGAACCGGAAAATGGCGAGCGTCAGGGATGATTTCCCGGCGCCCGTCCGTCCCACCACGCCGACCCTCTCCTTCCCCTCGACGTGGAAGGTCAGCCCCTTGAGGACGGGTGGCAAGTCGTCTGCGTAACTGACGACGAGGTCGTTGATCTCCAGCCTGCCTTCGGACGGCCAGGTTGCGGGCGGATCCTCCCCGCCTTGGTCCTCCGTCGGCAGTTCGGCGTACTCCACGACGCGTTCTGCGGCGTTCATGTCCAACTCGATGCTCGCGTAGTTTCGGATGGCCCAGAGGACGCTCTCGGAAAACTCCAGGGCGAAAGATAGGGTGAAGCCAGCCAGTGCGGCGTCCATCCTCGAAGAGCCGAGGATCATGATGGCCACGACGACGGAGAAGATGGCACCCAGAATGGACATGCGCCACCCCATCCAGCGATTGAAGAGCCACAGGTACCAGGTTGCCATGCCGTAGTCGTCCGTCTTGGTGTACAGGGCCTGGACGTACGTATTGGCCTTGTCGAAACCCCGGATGGTGGTGACACCGGCCAGGGCCGAGCCGAATACTTCAAAGATGGGCGACTTGGTTGTGCTCTCGAGGCGTTTGCTCGGCCGTGCTGCGTCCAAGTAGCTGACGGCCACGCGGACGCACGCGAGGAGGAGGGCGAAGGCGAGCAGAATGATGTAAGGGGAGACGAAGATGGCAGCAATGCAGATGCCGACGACGCTGAGAACACTGTTGAGTGTCAGGGCAATGTCCACGGCGATTCTGCTGTCGATGATGTTGAAATCCGCCGTGAACCTGTTGAGAATCCTACCAACAGGCACGGTGTCGAGCCACCTCAGAGGGGCCCGGAGGACCGTGTAGGTCATGTTGTGGAAGATGCGTCGGGAAGCCTTGAGGCTCATCACGAAGAGGAAAAGCATCCGGACAACGCCGAGAACGGCGGCTGCGGCTGAGATGGCTACATAGATTCCCAAGTAAAATTCGACGCTGCGGGCTTCGGTTATGTGGACGGGATTGGGCGGGACGTGGTGCATGGTGTGCTGGAGACTAGCAGCATAGGCGGCTCCGTGGGCGTTGTGGGCGTCGTGGGCGTTCAGATCCAGTGCCTCTTGTTGGTTATTGCCCGTCCAGATCCTGAGCCACCATGAGCGGCCTACGTCTATCGGTTAGTTTCGAAGAATGAATATCCGGGTTATTTAGCTTGATCGTACGTACCGAGTGTCATAGCCTCGAAGGCGATGAAGAAGAAGGCGGACATTGTCCACCAGGACCATCCGCCACTATCCCGCAGATACGCCGCGTAGACATGCTTCTTGATCGCGCCCTGCTCTTTCGATTCTTCCTCGATAAATTGCCGGGCCGCTTTGGAGGGTACCTTCTGGAGCGCGCTGCCGCCGGCCTCCGAGTTCATTGCCATGGGTTCTCCATCTTCATCTTCCGCCCCGGTCCCCGTCCCCGTCCCCGTCCGCTGGGGCTGGACATCTTGCTCGATCAGACGCAGGGTATCGTCGTCTCCGTCCATCTCGGAGGTCCGGACAGCGCGCTGTACAGTGCCGTCGCCGAGCTCCAAGACGAAGTTCGTCTTGGGCGCGCAAAGACCGACGTGGTGCGTGACCAGGATCCGCGTCCTTCCTTTGCACAGGGGTCCGGTGAGGCATTTCTCGAAAATATGGCGGCCGACGTGGGCGTCGACGGCGCTGAAGATGTCGTCGAGGATGAGGATGCCCGCTCTGGAGTACACGGCCCGCGCGAGGGTGACGCGCCACTTCTGGCCTCCGCTGAGGTTGACTCCGTTGGCGCCAAGCTCCGTCTGGTCGCCGTCCGTCAGCATGTCCAGGTCCTTTTGCAGGGCACAGGCCCTGATGGTCTCGCTATAGCGGTCCTCGTCCAGGGGGAGGCCGAAGAGGATGTTGTCTCGCAGGGTGGCGTTCTCGATCCAGGGGATCTGAGCAACAAAGGCGATGCTGGTGGGAAGAATCCAGTTGCCTCGGTTTGCTTTATCGTCGTGGCGCTCGTCGGTCGAAGGCGGCTTCGGCACGTAGATCTTGCCCGAGAGAAGGTCCGCTTCCCCCAGGATGGCAGCCAAAAGCAGGCTCTTACCCGCTCCCGTCTTGCCCGACACGACCGACAGCTCGCCGGAGGGGAATTCTGCGGTGACGTTGCGCAGCACGAATCTCTCGGATTCATCGGTCTCCTCGTCGTCAGCGGGCCAAGCAATGTCCGCACCTTCAAACGAGACACCGTCGCCATGGGTCACGATCTGGGTGATTTCGGGTGCCTTTGTGAATTCCTCGATCCGACCGATGGAGACTTTGGCGTCGATGAGATCGGTTGTGAGTTCCGGGAGAATGGACAGAGCAAGCTCAAGTGATTTGAAGACGCTGATGCTCACAAAGGCAACAGACGGCGTCAGACTACCATGGATCAAGGCGTAGACAGAGAGAGAGGCGGCGGCGAGGGCGATAGGGCTCCCGACCCACGAGCCATAAAGGGCGGAATCGGCCTTGAAGGCGTCCCAGATGGCCTTGAGCTCCTTTTCCCTCATATCATGGATACGGCCGCCCCACTGGGCTTCCAGGGCAGAGAACTTGATCTGGCGCATGCCTAGAAGACACTCGTTGACGAGGGCCAGCTTTTGGTCCCTGAGTTTCATCAGTCGGTCTTGCGCACCGGTGTAGAGCTTGGTGAAGTAGATGTTCAACGGCGTGATGAGAGCCAGGGCGCCGAGGCCGGCGAGAACAGGGATCCAACCCAAGAGCGAAACGAGGAAGCAGATGCCGATGACAAACCTGGCAATGCTGCTGGGGAAGAAAAGCTGATAGGCGGCAAAGTCGGACACTCGCTTGGCGTCGACACCGATCAGATTGACGATGGCCTGTTGGGATTTGAGGCTTGGTCCATCCTCGTCCTCGTCGTCCCCGGGTTTGCCTTGATTCGTGGACTCGCCATCGGCTTCGGCGTCGGTGTCGGTGTTGGTGTCGGTGTTGGTGTCGGTGTCGGATTTACTGACCGACTTGACATTCTTTCGCCGCATGGATTTCTCGACAATGATGGCAGATAGGAGATTTCGAACCGGGACCAGCAGTTCCGACCACGACACCCAGAACATGACGGCGCTCAGCCACTACACTCAACGAGGTCAACGACGATACTTCTTCTTTTTTTCGTTCCCCCCCCATGATAGGCATCCAGAACGAAAAAGGCGGGTTGAGACGTACAGCATCGGCCAAGATGGAAAAGCCAAGCCAGAAGACCAAAAGCCAGGTCTCGATATCAAGCTGTGTCCCCGACTGTCTCTTCTCCAGAGCCCTCAAGATCTGGAGAGTGACCCAGTAAGGCACGAAGGAGACAAAGCTCCTGAAGAGGGCGAGAGACCACTGGGCTAGGACGGCCCACCGGAAAAACCAAAGAACACGGAGCCAAAGCGCGGAGTTGGCGTTTTGGTTGACCGTTTTCCAACGCGCAGAGATATCCGAGGCGCGAGTTGTATGGCCGGGACGAGGAAGATCGACTACTTCGAGATCCTTCTTCTCTCTGGCGGTCTTGATCAAGGGGTCGCACCAGCTGAAGGTAAAGCGGCTGTATGCCGGCACAGTGTACATGCGATCAACAAGAGCACCGTCCAGATAGACGTCCGGCCGTCGGGCTAGTGACACACTCGTGGCAGAGAAGCCCAGGACGGCAACCAGAGTGAGAATCCTCAGGGCAAAGGAGATGGGGTGATGGGGTAGAAGACGGGTCAGGACAGAAGTGCCTTGGATCAGCAAGACCAGGCCTAAGACCAAGCTGCTGACCCAGGCCCACAAGCCAACATTGTAGGCGTGGACCGAGTCGTGCGTGGCAGCGATACAGGCGGCTTGGACGACGAGCAGAATCTACGTACGCACCACGTTAGCCTTTCTGGCGGGCCATATTCGGCACAAACCAGATGAGTTCGAAATGAGATGAACGCACCCACGCAGCAGAAAGAAGCCCATCGGCAAGAAGCACGTCCTGCCGGTCAACGGTAGACAATATAGCGACGGCCAACGAAGAAGCAGAACCGAGAGCGGCGAGGAGGACGATCAAGACCTTGGGCCACCTGTTGGAGAAGGTGGCGTTGGCCTCGGGCGTACTGTTCCCGTCCTTGTCCTCGTAGAAGTTCTCCTTGACAGACGGTGACCGAAGCTGGGAGACAAATCCGACGATGGCCGGGACGGAGCAAACGGCCACTACGGCGAGACCGGCCCCGGCCTCCATGGGTGGGCGAGGATCGATGCACCGCGGGATACGGTGGATGTATTGTTTTTTATTCTTGTTTATTGCTAAAAGAATGATGCAGCAAAGTTTTCTTCATATATGACATGTAGCAGACAGAAAGATGATGAAAATGATGAAAAAACGGCAGATGATGGGGACAGGGTAGGAGGCAGAAGCAGGGTATAAGTCAAATTCGTCCGTCTGGAAGGATTCGGTCTGAATCATCGCCGGGGACTTACTAATCGACGTCCTGGTAAAGGGATAATACGGATAGTATGTAGATGCTCTTTATCTAAGGTACCTTATGCTAGTAGGTCCATAAGACGTCTATCGGGGCCGTGTCCCCGTTTAATGGGTTATCTGCTGGTCCAAGTACGCACTTCGTACTTTAAGGTAAGGTACCTTACCTTACCTTAGCTAGGTACCTAGGTACCTTAAGGTACTTACCGTATCCGTATCACGCGTGATACCGTTCCAGTCTCCCAAGGTCATCGATTCCATCGTCCCAATCATCCCTCATCCCTCCTCAGCCTTCTTCCTCTCACTGCCTCTTCTCTTAATTTCGTGTCCTTCCAATGCCAACAGGCATAAGATAACCTTCCAGTTACCCCGCTCTAAAGGCACGACTGCCCCTTCGAGCTCCCGACGAGCAAGACCAAGGTAGCAAGCGTGTTACACCTTCGGCTGGTGGTGCTGGTTCTCTCGCGTACACCAGTCGTTCTCGTTCATCAACGCCAACGTTCGAGTCGTCTTTCCCAACCTGAAAGACTCCCACTGGGTTCCCTTATTTACATCTCTTCATGGGCTGCTTCGAGGCGTCCCGAATTCGAATCCCCGCTGTCCACCGTCTTTAGTCCAACTACCTTGGGCATTTCCGTCGCCTCGAGACCATTGTATTCGCTTGAAGGACACCCATTCATATGCCTATCTCTTACAGCCCCTCCGGAATAGACCATCGACGCGATGAAGAGCACACCTTTGATTATCAATTGGCACGATCAAAATGCCCCTATCTATTCTGCGCACTTTGAGCCCCAGGGCAAGGGTAGACTGGCGACCGCTGGCGGCGACAATAACGTGAGGGTACGTCTGCCTTTTTTTCTCTTCTTCTTTTCTTCTTTTTCTTTTTGTTCTTCATTTCTGTTTTTTTTTTTTTCTTTCTTTTTTCTTTCTTTTCCCCACGCAAAACGGGGTCTCTCGAGAATCAAGTAGCTGACATACTCCTCTGCCTATAGCTTTGGAAAATCGATGGCCATGGCGAGGACCGCAAGGTTGAATACCTCTCCACATTGTCCAAACACACTCAAGCTGTCAACGTTGTGAGATGGGCTCCCAAAGGTACGTCAAGTGCTCTCAAGTGCTTCGTGCTTCGTGCTTCCAAGCTCCAAAGCTGTGGATTCGTCGTTACTAACATTCCGTTCGCCCCTCTCCAGGTGAGCTTCTTGCCTCCGCCGGCGACGATGGCAACGTCATCCTTTGGGTTCCCGCCGAACACCAAATAGGCCCCTCCTTTGCATCAGAGGGGTTGGAAGACAAAGAAACCTGGCGGGCCAAGCATATGTGTCGGTCGAGCGGCTCCGAGATATATGACCTGGCCTGGTCGCCCGACAGTACATACTTCATCATCGGTAGCATGGACAACGTTGCCCGGGTTTACAACGCAAGCACGGGTATGCTCGTTCGGCAAATTGCCGAACACAGCCACTACGTCCAGGGCGTGGCGTGGGATCCGTTGGACGAGTTCATCGCAACGCAGTCTTCCGACCGGTCCGTCCACGTCTACTCCCTCAGGACCAAGGACGGACGGTACTCTCTAAGCGGCGGTCACGACGATAAACCATCCCGGATTGCTAGTCACAACAGGAGTGAGCTGCCGGCTCTGCGGATTGCATCGGGCAGCCCGGCGCCTCCGGATTCGACTCATGCGCGGTCGCACCTCGTGGCCGTGCCCGAGCAAGCAGTCGGAGTCGGAGTCGGATCCCCGGCTCCATCGGCACCGGGAACACCGACATCGATGGCTTTGCCGATGCACCCGCCGAGCACCATCAGCCACAGCAGAAAGTCGTCGTTTTCGTCGGCCAGGCGGTCACCTAGTCCGGCTCCGTCTCCGTCCATGCCCCTTCCGGCGGTGATGCCGATGGAGCCGGCTTCCAAGCCGCACTCGTCGTCGACACCGGGGTATGTCGGCGCTAGGACCGCCCACCTATACGCCAACGAGACGCTGACGTCCTTCTTCCGGCGGCTGACTTTTACGCCGGACGGGAGCGTCCTTTTGACGCCTGCGGGGCAGTACCAGAGCCAGCACCAGCATCCCGCCGAGTCCAAGACGACCTACGAGGTGACGAATACGGTGTACATCTACAGCCGGGGCGGCATCAACAGGGCGCCCATAGCGCATCTGCCCGGACACAAGAAACCGTCGGTGGTGGTGAAGTGCTCTCCCGTATTCTACCAGCTCAGGACGTCGCGGCGGCCGGCTACCCAACACATCGCCATCGACACGTCCTCGACCGGAGAGGTTATTCCCTCTCTGCCGGAACCCGTGTCGGAGCCGCCCCGGGACTCCCCAGCCATGGAGCCTCCTCCACCGCCGACGCCAACCTCTACGGCGGAGGCTGCGACGGCGGCCACCATAAGGCAGTCGACCGAAACGGCAACGTCGTCCACATGCGGGCCCCCAGCGGCGTTTGCTCTGCCTTACCGGATGGTCTATGCCGTGGGAACCCAAGACTCTGTCCTGCTGTACGATACGCAGCAACACACACCCATCTGTATCGTTAGCAATCTCCACTGTGCCACGTTCACCGACCTCGCTTGGTAAGTTGAGACGCCACCATGGCCATCTCAAGCAGTCTCTTCTCCGGGCTAACGCAAAACAAACAGGTCGAAGGATGGACTGACGCTTCTGATAACGTCTTCGGATGGATTCTGCTCGACCTTGTCGTTTTCGCCGGGTGAGTTGGGCCAGGTGTACCAGGGGGAGGTGCCGACGGCCAAGAATCCGGTTGTTCCGGGAACGGCGTCGTCGTCCCACCAGAACACGCCGGTTCCTACACCGACGTCTGTGCTTGCGCCGCCGTCTCCGTTCCCGAGCGGGCCGTCGTCCCATTCACACCAGCACCGGACGGCGTCTTCTGGCTCGTTTGGCGCCTCGACATCTCCGCTGCCTGCAGGGTTCGTCCACGCTCGGCCGTTGTCGCCCAGCCGGTCCACCACCTCGGCGTCGTCGTCGTCGGCGGTGCCACCGTCGCTGGCTGTGCAGGCCGGGGTGGCGACCAATCCTCTCCTTATCGTCGGCAGCGTGCCCAGCATCGCGGCGACCCATTCTGGCCAGGTGACGGGTATGCCTGTCACCACGCCACCTGAGACGCCCGGCAACCGGCCGACTGACGATCCGGCAAACCGGGGCACGAAGCGGGACGCTAGTACGGAGAGAGAGGGGGGCCGACCCAAACGGAGACGGATAGCACCCACGTTGGTGGAAGCCTTCCCTGACCAGCAGTGAGAGAGAATTAAAAAAATGGAGATCATTTCGACGATTAATGCAGAATGACCAGTACCTCTGGTCTGTCTTGGTGTAAGATACTTGAGAAGACAAAAGTGAAATGATGGATCGATGGCCTGGGGAGAGACGACAGGAGAGACGACAGGAGAGACGACAGGACAAGGCTTAGGTTATAAGAGGGAAGGGGTCGGGTTTGCATGGCATGGCATGACTTGGGCGTTTGTTTGGGGTTTGGGCAGACGCGTAGCAACCAATATACCATAGGTAGGAAGCTCCCGGCAACAGGGAATCAGGAATCAGAATATCATCATGTTTCTTTGGCTTTGTTATCATGGACCTCTGCTTGTGGTCATGTGATGGTCCTGTCGTTGTCGTACGTAATACGGACACTGAGGTACGGTACCATTATCTTAATGAAGCCGTTGATACCTTATACGAAGTACTTTTTAATGACGTACCAAGACCCTCGCTTTCCGAGACGAGATACCTTACCTGAAAAAGTTACTCACTCGTGTCCCTCACTCTCTACCTTACATTATACTCCCTCACATTCTCATGCTTCAGAGCAATGTGAATGAATCTCCTCAATTTGCCCGGAATCAGCAATCCTACACATGTTTCTCGTTTCAGACGAATTGCATCCAATCCTCTTCTAACCCAGTTTCCGTTCTAATCATCTCGAGCTACATTGACGACATGATGCATGACGTTTCTCACGCTCACCTCTAAGCCCACGGGCATCGCCGCATTTCCAGTGCATCTCCAACGCCTCATCTCCATATTCCTCGTCTTAGGTGCCGAGATACCCTTATGGTCTGGTTCAAACCCCCCTACTAAGGTAGTGAATCGCCATGGCGACAAAACGACCCCGTAGCCCGGATCTCATCCCCAACCCTTTCATCAAGAAGCGAAACCTGCAATGGGCGCTCGAGCCTCCCGAGTCTCGTGGCCACATCCCACCAGAAGAAGAGTCCGACGAACAAGATGACGATTCCAGCTCGAGTGCCGACTTCGACTTTGCCGCCCGCGAAGCAGAAACAGAGAAGCCACCGCCGCCGACGTTCTCAACAGCAGCCGTCGAATCGGGAAGCGAGTCCATGACGGATCATGCAGCGCATTTCAGTGCGCTCCTTGCCGCTCACACGCTCAAGCTTAAGCGTCCTACGCTGCTTCCCGTAGAATCGTACCGAGCTCTGTACGAGGAAAATTTTGGCTCCCCGCGCGGCGCCCACTTCGTCATCCATCAGCACAACCACCCCGTGGCTGGAACACATTACGATTTGCGTCTGCAGATCAACCCGACGAGCAGCGCTAGCTGGGCTGTCATGTATGGACTTCCTGGCGACCCGAACTCGCTGCGCTTGATGCGGAATGCTACTGAGACGAGGGTGCATTGTCTCTGGGTGCGGCTCAGGATCCCCCCCCCTTCTTTTTTTCTTTCTTTTTTCTTTCTTTTTTCTTTCTTTTTTCTTTTTTTCTTCTTTTTTTTTCTTTCTCTCCTCTCTTCTTCCCCAGAGCCGGCAACTGATGGTCTCGCAAAACTAGAACCACTTAATTGAAATAGCCTCCGCTTCAACCGGGTCCCTCCTCATCTGGGACACGGGAACCTACTCCATCCTCCCTCGACGTTCCAAGCACGCCCCCTCCGTCGACCCTTCTTCGCCCGCCTCCTCTGCCCGTTCCGACGACGATTCCAGTCCAGAGCAGCGCGAGCACCACCACCACCGCCGCCGCCGACACCCGCACCAGACGGAGCAGGAAAAGCTCCACGCCGCTTTCCGTGAACGGAAGATCCGCCTGCGGTTGGACGGGACCCGCCTCCCGCGCCCTTATGTTGTGAACCTGCGCCTTACCAAGTCGGAGGATGCGCAGGGACGAGCCAAGGCTGCGAGGTCGGCGTCGTCGTCGAGGGGCCGAACTCGACAGAGACGTGGTGGTCGTGGTGGTCGTGGTGGTGGGAAGGCGATGCGGCGGGTCGTGGAGACTACGTCCGAGTCTGGCTTCTCGTCCGCTGCAGAGGAGGAGGAGGAGGAGGAGGAGGAGGGAACTCGCGAGGGGCTTCGAGTCGCCGTGGAGACGAAACAACAAGACGAAAAAGGCGCAGGTCGGGACGGCGTCCCCTTGCCGCCCGGCCGTCGGAATCAAGACACAGTCCTCCAATCGACTCAACCAAGGCAAATCGACCGAAACGCCCAGCCGCTATCCGAAGAAATGCGCCGCGAATTGGAAGAGCTCGACGAGTCGGCCCAGGTCCGCGCCTCCAACGCCTACCCCGGCGCCGAGAACAGCGTCGGCAGCGTGCACCAGCGCAAGTGGTTCCTGTCCCTCGACCGTGCCGCCTGCGGCTTCGCGAGGCGTCCGCCCGCCGACCAGGGGGCCAGGGCCCAGTGGGTGGGGGAGTCTAGATCGGGCCGGGACGACGGGCGTCTGGGCTTCCCTTTCTACGTTCGCGGTCCCGATGTGGAGAGGAGTGTCGTCACCGGTCGGCTGGCGGCTGACATACTTCGCGACGAAGGGGTGTCGGGTTTCGTGAAGAGGAAAGGCTGGAAGCCTGTTTTGAACTGACGGACGACGCTCACGCCTCGATGTCGTTGCTTGTACCCTGATGCAGGAAAGATATAATCATGTTCGTCATTTCAGCGTTCGATCATGTGGCAGTCGATCACCGACCTCTATGGTAACCTGTGAGCCATCCTCGGCCATGGTCCCCGGTGTCAGAGGCTTGGGTCGCCCTCTCCAGGATGGATGAGGCGTCGTCATCGTCGAAGTCATAATCGGGACGGGCAGCGGCGAACTGGTCGTTCAACGAGTAGCGAGAACTAGCGGAGCGCAAGGTGCGGGATGACACCGACAGGTACTGGGCGTAGTCGTCGGAATCGGCGGACGAGCGGCCCGGAGGCACGCGTAATGAGGATGGATGGCTCCCCCGTGAACGAGCACTCCGGAGGCTGTCGTAGTAGTTTGCAGGCCGCGGAGGCGGTTGAGTAGGTGAGGCGAGTTGGACGACGAGTCACTCGTGGTTTCAAGATCACATCAGCCTTGTGTCTTTATGACCGACGAGTCGTTTTTTCTTCTTCTTCTCTTTCGGAACGGCAGGGGCTGACGAGAAGTGGAGGTGGGAACCGCTGGGGTCAGTCAGTTGAGGCATCGGTGAGGGTGAGGTTGAATATAGTGGCTGTTGTTCGTTTGCCGATGATGTCCGGAATAGGCGGCGCGTGCGTTTGTGTAGTGTAGTGTACGTGAGGTGAGTACGAATAAGGATCGAAGCAATCCCGTCGTTGCTTGGTGGACGACAGGGATCCAAGTCGAAGAGGGGCACGCTGTTCTAACATTGCTTGCATTTCGACGGGTTTGGACAAAAGGAAAAGGAAAGGAACCAAAAAAGGGTAAGAGAGGAAGAGGAGGAGGAGGAGGGGGAAGAATAAAAATAAAAATAAAAAATAAAAGAAAAAGCAAAAGGAAATCGATGCCGCTCGCTAAATGCTTCTTTCTCCCTCTCTTTGCCGATTGATTCTTTCCAGAGACACCCTCGTTTTGTTACAACACCAGAAGCAACACCAGAATGATGATGAGCACCGTGATGAGGACAGCAATGCAGCAGCTGCTCAACCTATCCTCATTCCGCCGAATGACAAACTGCAGCTTGGTCATGCCAGTCTGCAACCGTCCGCCGACGCGGTCCGCAACCGTATCCACCACCTCCAGCATCTCCCGCTGCTCCTCCAGCTCGCGCCCCATATCGCCCGCCTGGCGTCGCAGGTTCCCCACCGTCTGGAACACGCCATCCAGGTGCGTATCCTGCTCGCGCATCATCTCCGTCTGCTGCTGCCGTTCAAACTCGGCCACGTAGTCGCCGTCACCGTCACCGTCGCCGTCGCCGTCGGGGATGCTAAACGAATTCGGATCCGGGAGGTCCCCCGACCCGGGCCCGGCGCTGGCTTCTTGCCGGGTCTTGTGGAGCTCGTCGCGCATATCTTCGACTTCGCCGCCTACTTCCTGCACGAGGCGCTCGCGGCGCGTCACTTCGGCCGCGTCGAGCCCGAACTGCGTCGGGTCGGCTTCGACGGCGCGCACCGACTCGATTAGGTCGCTCAGGTCTTCGGCGAGGGCGGCCAGCGCGGATTCGAGGTCGGTGCGCGCGGCGACTAGCTCTGGGGACGAGGCTTTGGTCGAGAGCGAGCGGATGCGGAGGTAGGAGGTGAAGAGGGACCGGGTGGAGTCGAGCTGGGTGAGGACATCTCTGCAGAAGCAAAAGTCGTTTAGCCATGGATGGGCTTGAGGCTGGCTGACCGGCCCAGCCTGCTAGCAGCCAGGGTTACAGTTGTTGTACTTACTGTTGGACCTGGAGGAAGGGATCCACCTCAGTAGTGGAGGACATCATCCTGGTGACCGTAATTTGTATATGCCCATTCGTATCGGCATTGGCGCAAGGTTGTTTGGACAGCTTAGGGTCGAGGGTTGTTGTGTTGTGTTGTGTTGGGCCAGGAAATTGACCAGACGTACGAAGTTACGAAGTTGCGGAGGCCGGAGTAATCAATGGGGATGACGTTTGAAAGGAGGGCCACCAAATCAGCAGTTCGGTATTTCTTCGGCTGAATTATCCAGGTACCATAGGTACGATCTCACCGGCGATTACCGAGGTGAGCATACTAGGAAAGTGGCTTCACCGAGAAAAATTCCCTAACCCCACCAAAGATCCTCAGGGGAGGGGGCTTGAGTCGCTCGATGATTTTTAGGACGAATAGTTCCATCTCAGAAACAAATCAGAGTAAGTGAGATAGTGAAAGTCTGGTGTATCCTTTCCTTTCATTTTTTCGCTCTCCTTTTTTCTTTTCTTTTTTTTGAAAAAAAAAAAAATTAAAAATTTCAACAGCCGGCTCATCTCATCTCTACTCCACACAAAATCATCTCTCCCATTCAGCTCCTCCACCAGACCCCAGGATGATACCGGACAAGCCTCTCCCCTATGGGGATGAATTTTCGTCAGTCGAGGAATATGTCGACTCCTTGCTCGAATTCGCCAGCACAGCGGACATGTTCCAGCTCTTCGCCGGCGGCGTCCACCTGAACGACTTGTTCATTTCAGAGCGCAGCCTGTTCGAGATGAGCGTCCCGGAGGACTGGCAGCCTTACATCTTGTCCCTTGAGCCCATGGGCTTCGTCGACCTGCTCCTGCGGGATGATCTGAACGCCATCCCAGAGGGTTCCCGTCCTCCGGCGAGCCTGGCAAAGTACATTCGGGACGTCCGCCGGTTGTCCCTGCGCCGGGCGTTCGGAGGCCCGAAGCCGCCCAAGTTGGCGCGGACGGTGGCGCTGGGCATGAAGCCCAAGAAGATCCACGAGGTGTCCAACTTTGCCGAGTACATCAACCGGCTTACGGGGAGCATCGCGACGCGTTACGGCAAGGACGTCACGCACCTGGTGGACTTTGGCAGCGGCCAGAACTATCTCGGCCGGACGCTGGCCCTGCCCCCTTACAACCGGCACATCGTCGCCGTCGAGGGACGGAAGCACAACATCGAGGCGTCCAGGAACTTGGATGTACAGGCAGGCTTGTCCACGCGGGAGAAGGTGCACCGCAACAAGAAGATGTGGCTGCAGGTCGTCGACAGCCAGACCCCCGAGGACCAGCGGACGTCCAAGGCGTTGAACCGGGCCGCCAACGCGCACAGGATCACCACCGACCCGGCTGCCGACCTGCGGCCGGCGAAGGAACTGGCGCAACGATATGTCAGGGTACCGGGCAAGGGTACAGTGTCGTACGTGGTCAGTAGGTTGGAAAGCGGCGACCTGTCCGATGTGATTGCGAAGATTGAGAAGGAGGTGTGGGCGGGAGAGACCGGAGGGACCGGAGGGACCGAAAAGGACAAGGACGAGGAGGCCAAGGGTACGAACAACGACAAGGAGCTCAGGATGATGGCCATTTCCATCCACTCTTGCGGAAACCTCTCGCACTACGGCATCCGGTCGCTCATCATGAACCCCGGCATCCAGGCCGTGGCCATCGTGGGCTGCTGCTACAACCTCCTGACGGAGAAGCTGGGCCCGCCGACGTACAAGTTCCCGTACGTGCGACCCAGCCTGCAGGCCGTCAACGGGCGGGCGTTCGCCGAGTCGACGCGGTTCGATCCGGAGGGCTTTCCCCTGAGCCAACGGCTGTCCACGTACAAGGGGGACGGGGTGCGGTTCAACATCACGGCGAGGATGATGGCATGCCAGGCGCCCTACAACTGGGGGGAGGAGGAGAGTCACCACTTTTTCACGCGGAACCTCTTCCGGTCCGTGTTGCAGAAGATTTTCCTGGACAAGGGAGTCATCACCAAGGTGTACCACCGCGAGGGCGAGAAGGAGAAGGAGAGAGACGAGAACGACGTGGAGACGCCGTTCAACGTGAGCACGAACCCCATCATCCTCGGGTCGCTCCGGAAGCCGTGCTTCGCTTCGTTCAAGGCGTACGTCCGGGGGGCGGTCGCCAAGCTGACGACGAACCCGGAGTACGGCAAGTACAGCAAAATGGTGCACGCCAAGATGTCGGACATGAGCGACGAGGAACTGGAGTGGTATGAGGCGAAGTACCTGAGCCGGGGCAAGGAAGTGTCGGCCATCTGGAGCCTGATGGCCTTCAGTGCGTGCATCGTCGAGTCGACCATTGTGACGGACCGATGGCTTTTCCTCAAGGAACACGGCGATGTGGTCCAAGATTGCTGGGTAGAGACGGTATTTGACTACAGGGAGAGTCCACGCAATCTTGTTGTGGTTGGCATCAAGAAGTAGGAGGTCGGGCGACTGTTGTTTATTAATTGTCCATCATGATCGCAGGGACAGCGGATTGCGGAGGGATTCTAGACAGTTCGGCGGGAACGGTTTATTCCACTTTGGCGTTTGGTGTTGTTCAAAGAGCGGCATATCGTTGGCTCTAGAAGCTTAGATGAAAGGAAAGAAGATGCCCCTGTAGGGGGGCGCTCGATACGTGGAATATCTCTGGAAAGATAAATTTGATCGCCAGAATGGCGAGGAATAGTAGTGGTCTTGATAGGTGTGTGATGCATCGTGGAGTGAGGCTATGTACCAAGGTAAGGTAGGTCGGTAAGGTACCTAGGTAGAGACGCAGCACTACCTTACCTACCCGGACGGTATTTGGAGTTACCTTAGGTACCCTATGTTCATGCCTCCACGCTTGGAAGGTACTCTAGCAACTTGGCGTTTCAAGTCATGGAGGCAGGCATGTTCCTTTTCGAGGGGTGGACCTGCGTCCTCGGGCATGATGCAACGGGAAGAAGGCAGGGCAGTCCAAGGCCATGCAACTGATATGCAAGCGGCCCAAAGGGTTCTCGTTTTGATCAACATCATTAAGCCATGACGACGAGGCGTAAAGCCATCTCCCTCCATCCTTCCCTAAGGTATGCGGTAGGTACCTTAGTAATCACCAATCCCCTTCATTCTCTGCTTGCCGAGCAGGAATGACCTGTTCAGGGGTGGGCTGCGCCTGTCATCATGGGCCTCGGGTGGGTGACTCTGACTCTGACATGGAAGGATGTGCCGGGAAAGAATAGTGTTGGGGAGGAAAGAGGAAAGCACGAGGGACGTCAGGAACTCCCGACTTGTACTGGACTCGAGACATGAGACACTGCAGCCCTTGGACTCGAACCCCGTGCCAAGTGGCCTGTTTTCCGTCGTGGCCGTCAGGGTGAGACATCACCATCACCATCACCACCACCTGCACCGCGTCACCACATCACATCAATTTCCGCTCGACACACCATCTCGCCAATTTCCCCGCAAGATGTGTGTCCGTACACGTACATCGTACATCGTACATCGCACATCGCACATCGTATGCCCTGCCATCGGGTGTCTTTCCGGTGCAGATGTGGCGCCAATCACGCCAGATCTGAGCTTGGCTTCTTTATTGAAACCTGGTTTCCCCAGGGTACTGTAGGCTTGGGTTGTTGCTCCCAGCTGTTGGCACGCCGGAATCCCAGCCAGTTGGTTCGCCCGCCCGCCCGCCCGCCTCTCGACTCCCTGCTTTCCTTTTCCAAGGTAGGAAGGTGGAGTGAAAAGTCGAAGAAAGGAGATGAGATGATGACTAGGACAAAAAGCCGTGTGTGCGTGTGACTACTGAGTACAGCATTGCATGCCTGAACTTGCTTGGCCTCGATAAAAGCCCGGGAGAGCAGGCAGGCCACTAACGGAGTAGGCCAGCAGACCATGGAAGACCGACTCGCCACCCCACCTACCACCCCTCATGCCTTGGGACGGGTGAGTCTGTGACCTGGGATCGTGCGAATCGTCAATTACGAAATCGCTGGCGCCATTGTTCTCATTTACATTTACCTGGTACGTCGACAATGACGACTCCATCACACCTTTTCCTCTTGAATGCTTGTTCCTTTTATTCTCTTCTTTTGTCTCCTACCTATTCACTTCCTCACCACACCTGGCTCTCCTTTTATACGGGTTCCCTTGTTCCCCCTCCCTCATCATCTCGTGTCGTACAAACTATTGCCATTTCGACAGACAGCCGGCTACCCACAAATCGGAGTACGGCAACCGACTGTCTATGCCCCTCCACCTGATCCGGGCTAGCTACCGAGTAGTTCGAGTAGTTCACTTGACCTTGAATCGTATCCCGGTCTATTGATCTTCCAGGCCTACCTACTCTACTCCGTACACAGCTCTTCGACGTCGGTCCCGGAGATATCTCCTAGCTCGACCTACTAGCACGCCCGCATCGACATTCGACATTGGCTACGAGAAGGGTTGGTTGGGTTTATAATCATTAGACGCAGACCGTTAGAGCAATTTCTCTCACCTCATCGTCTTACCTAGTCGCGGACCGACCCTGGGCTTTTTCTTTATCGTTCAGTGCCCACGCCCGCCGCTCTCTCCACTTGGCACCATCTCACTAGTCTCCAGTCTCCATAAGGCATCCTCCCACTCTTCCTTATCTCGCATCGGCCAACACCCAACACCCAACACCTAACGCCCCGCGCCCAACGCCTTCTCCGTATTCCCCCGAACGGAGTGACGGAAGACGACCCCTGAAAAGAGCAAAAGGACGCAAAGGCCATATATGGCCATAGTGTGCAGTGTCCATAGCCCAACTCACAAGACCCATCACCATGGCCGCGATATCCTCGGCTATGAACGTTCAGATTACCTTTCTCGTAAGTTTATCCGTATATCCGTATCCGTATCCGTATACCATATACCATACAATCAGACACATCGTCTGATGACTGACACATATATCGGTGGCTCCTTCATCTAGCCCGGTACCTACTCTCTCATTCACTTCCCCCCCGAATTGTACGCCAATTTTCTCCAACCCGTCCTCGGTGTCCTCCTCCCTCAGACGCAGACGGTCAACTCAAGCCGGCGATGGCCTGACCACGACCTCGAGGGCCTCACGAGCGACCATCAACACACCTTCCTCAACGTCTCGGTCACGCCTCTCGAGTGCTCGGTCGTCTGCCACACCTCCTTTGCCCGTTCCGTCTTCGAGCCCGCCATCGCCGCCATCCCCCGAGATGCTCGGAAATCTGCTTTTATCTCCCAGGAGCCCTACCTTGTCCTCTCTGTCATTAGCGGTGACGTCGACATTGTGAGCCGCATCCTTGAGTTGACGTGCCCCCTGGCCCTGGCCGGCATCCCCATCTTCTTCATCTCCACCTATTACTCCGACTTTATCCTGGTGCCGGCCAAGGACCGTGAGTCGGTGGTCAAGGCACTTACCGAGCGCGGTTTCGTTCTCCACCGGTACGAGAAGGACAGCTTCGTGGCCAACCGCCACGGCTACACCACTCCGACCATTGCGGCGGTTGCCGCGCCTTCCCCGGCCACCATCGCCGAGCTGTTCGGCCGCACGTTCGCCCAGCTTAAGAAGCGGTGCGTCGAGCCCATCGTCGAAGATGGCCTGCGTCTGGTCCAGCTGAGCGCGCGTGACGCCCATTTGCGGGGCACGGGCATCGGCGAATGTTACATCGACGGCCCTTCGCGGCGCTTCTCGCAGTCCGGTTACGGCATGAGTGGTGGTGCCAACGGCCGTAACCCGCCCCAGCCTTTGTGGATTGACGCGATCGACGCGCGGCTCTACGCGACCCTCGTGTCTGCCCTCGTCGCCCGGCCGCGCTTCTTCTCGCTCACGCTGGCCATCGAAGACCCGCCGTCCCTGCTGCTGGACCGCAATCTGCTCCCGCTGTTTGGCGATATTCTCATTGGCGACCGGAGCAACGAGCTCGTGCCCATCTCTCTCGACCTAGCCAAGCTGCCCTTCGAAGCGACCGGCATAGTGTGCGGCGTCGCTGGTAAGATCGTCCAGGAGATGACCATGTCACGGCCGGGTATGTCGTATCTGTCGACGGCTTGTGCCGGCACCGTCATCCTCTCGCCCGAGCAGGCGGCTCAGGCACTCGAGGTTCTGCGACCCCTGATGGCCGAGGAGGAGTAGGCTTCCCCCGGCGTGCTGCAGGGGTATGCAAGGAAACTCCGATCCCTGGCTGTGGTGGTAGGGCGTATCGGCAAGAAGGGCTATCGCCTGATTCTTCTCTGGGCTCACCTGAAGAAGAAATGAACCTGGTCGATGCTTTTTTTTGGGGGGGGGATGGGCGGTCGCGTTTTGGAGCCAAAAGAAAAACAACGACAAGACTGATTGGGAATCTTGATTCACGAGTGGTTTATTCTGGCGTCGGACGGGGGGAATGCATCTGTGGCCTGTGGTTCTGTGGTTCTGTGGTTCTGGGGTTCTGTGGTTCTGGGGTGTTTTGGCTGTTTTGGCTGTTTTTATTTAGATGCCAATGATATCTTGACGAGCCGGTAATCTGGCTATCCAACTATCCAACTTGGCGATGACTGCATTTTCGACTTTTATTCCCATCTTCCCTCTCCCTCACCTCCCCTTCTTTTTGCCCCCCGATTCACCACCACCACCACCACCCCCCCCCGCCTTCCCACCAACCCCCTCCCCCAAAAGCCGCACGACAGCCTCCCTCGCAACAGAATTAATCACAGCAAACCGCCTCGGCCCAAGCTTCTGCCCACCATACCACCTCGTCACGACCACCACCACGTCCCACGCATCCATGAGCTGCAGCAGCCTCAACACGCGCCCGCCCGCCGCCGTCTCCCCGTCGTCGTCGCAGTCCTGGAACGTCGCGCCCGCGGGGGTCCCGTCGGGGCCGCGGGCGCGAATGCGCCAGGCGGTGATGTTGTGGGTCGCGGCGCGGGCGCGGCGGTCGGTGGCGAGGAGGTGGGAGACGTAGGCGGAGGCCTGGGCGGGGGAGGCGGCCGGGGCGGCGCGGGCGAGGAAGGTGGATCTGAGCTCGGTGTAGGGGTCCGAGAGGGTCCAGGGGGGGGAGGGGCCTAGGGAGGAGGGGTCGTCGTCGTCGTCGTTGTCGTCGTTGTGGTCGTCTTCTTCCCGTCCTTCGTCTGCTGTTGCTGTCTCCGAACCCGGGCCCCGGGACGATTCAGATGATGATGCGCGGGCGCGAAAGCCCTCGAGGGCGTCGAAGAGACATACCGTCCCCGGGGAGAAGGTGGCGAGGACGCTTTGGCGGAAGAGGGCGAGGGCGTGGGCTGCGGCTCCGGGTTTTGCGTTTGCGCCTGCGGAATGGGTTGCGAGCACCACAGGGGGTTCGGAGGCCGGGTACGAGGGGGGGAAGGAGAGGCGGAGGGAGAGGCGGAGGGAGAGGCGGTTGGATGATTCTGATGGGTTGTCGTTGGACGGGTCCGAGGCGGCGGTGTCGTCGTCTGGGGGTGGGAGGACAAGGATGTAGATGTTTGGGTCCTCGGGTGACGGGGAGGGGGTGAGGGTGCCGTCGCCGTAGATGGAGTTGAGGGCTTCTATTTCGTCGAGGAGCTCTTCTGAGGGTGACATGGTGGTGTGGTGGTGGTGGTGATGAGTCTGAAGATGAGTATGAAGATGAAGATGAAGGTGATGATGGTCTGTCTGTTTAATTGGCTCGAGATTCAACTAAACATGTATTTACGATGGTTAATTATGAAGAATATGAGAGTGGAGTGTCTGAAATGTGAGAATTATAGATGGTTGTAAAATAAAGTAAAGTCAATAAAGTAAAAGAATATAAAAGAATATATTCCTGAGAAATGATTTGGTCACTTGAGGGAATTGAGTGTGAAAGTTCCTCACTGTGTCTAATGAGTATAAACACGGTACTCAAGTGACTTGAGTAGGTGATGGTGGCAGTGGCAGTGGAGTGGCATGGCAGTGGCAGTGGCAGAGTGATTGGGCCAGCACATCAACACCATATGAACCACCAAAAAAAGGCGGAAAAGGGGGAAATAAAGGAACAATATTAATAGAGCCAATAATACATTGAATTAGAATAGCCTTGCTCTGAGCAAAGAATTAACAGTGATCCCCCTTGTTTTCCCACAACTCCTCCACCTGTATGTAGGTGCCTCAACTGTTCCAACTCTCTCCTGTTAACGCCATGCTTCTTCCACGGACAGACTCGACTCGTCCCCAATTCCCAGACAAAGACAGCAAAGAAAAAGAAAAGAAAAACAGAGAGCTAGTAAAACAGTCCAAAACAACTCCTTCGTCCCATGATAATCATTGTCTCTTCACACTCCTCACACCTCACACTCCACTCGACTTCCATCACACACACCCTCCCCCCCTACAAACACGGCATCCACAGCGCATCGCACTGCGCCAGGTTCATAGGATTGACGGCCTTGGCAATCAAATCAATGACCGTCTGGTTCGCCGGCAAATTGCTCGTCGGGCTCTGCGCCAGGCTCGCCGCCCTCTTCACAATCGAGTCCGTATTCAGCTGCACCGACTCGCGCAGCTGCTGCTCCGTCATCTGCACCACGCGGTGCGAGCTCGTGAACCAGTAAATCATCTCGTCCCGCACGAACAGCGTCAGCGCGTGCTCCAGCCCGTGCTCCGGCACCAGCAGGCACCGCGCCACCGCCATCAGCGCACAGCTGAAGATCCCTTCCATCCCCAGCGGGCCCATGAGCGTCTGCAGGTTCGGCGTCAGCCGGAACGGCACCGGCTCCGGGTTGTGGAAGAACGGCTTGTTCGGGCTGAGGAACGACATGAGCTCCGACCCCCAGATGCGGCCCGACGCCCGCGCCACGTGCATCTTGGGCGGGTACCGGTTGTGCATGTACAGGATGTACGTCATGAACGTCAGCGTCGCCAGCTGGTACGACAAGTGCCGCCGGAAGAGCCAGAACTCCGAGTAGTGCGGGAAGATGCGCTGGAAGTACTCCAGCGCCACCGTGTGCGGCACCCACTTCTCCTGGATCGCGTTGAACACCTCCAGCCGCGCCGTCGCGCCCTGCTCGCCGTGCTTCGGGTTCTTGCTGTCCAGCACCCCGCGCAGCTTCTCCATCGTGAACAGCACCGGCTCGTCCTTGGACATGCCGTGCCGCCGGCAGTGGTCCTCGTACACCCCCTGCAGCGTGATGTACGACGTGTCCTCCTGCACGATCCGGATGTGCGGCGCCAGCGGCACCATCAGCGGCAGCGTGAACTGCAGGTCCCGCCGCCGGCTCTCCTTCCGCCGGTTGAGCGTCTGGTTGAGCTGTCGGAACAGCTGCAGGATGCGCTCCTCCCGCCGGCAGTGCCGCGCCGCCGGGTGCTGCACCACCCACGAGTGCACGCTGGCGTCGTGCCCGCGGATCCGGAGCCGCCGGTACGACGCGCTGATCGACCGCACCAGGTCCACGTTGGGCAGGAACCGCTCGATCCGGATGAAGTCCTGGTTCTTGTCCTTGTGTTCGAGGTACTGCCCGGGCATCTCCACGTCGTCGAACCTCTGGTACCGGAACTCGCTGAGGTGCGGCGAGAACGCTTCCAGGTTGACGCGCGTCTGCCGGCGGTCGAGCTTCTCCTCGAACTTGTTGCGCCAGTGGCGGAGCTTCATGATGTATTCGTCCATCGTCGGCTTGACTTGCACGAAATCCGCCTCGAACGACTTCTTGATGTGCGCTGGCAGGATCGTCTCCGCGAATCGCACAATGTTCGTCTCCGTCGCCGGCGGCAACTTGATCTTGGCGTACGAAGACGGCATGCGACTGACATACGCCAGCGCGTCGTTGAGCAGCGCCACGATGAGCCGGTATGCGTCCTCGTCGGGCGGGCATTTGAAGTTCTTCTGGATCTGGTCCACCATCGTCTCCATCGACAGGGCGAGAAGCGGGAACGCCGACTTTAGGTGGCTCATAATCTCCTCCGTGAGCTCCCAAGGAGGCCGCTTCTGTCCACGACCCGGCGGCGCCTGGTGCATCTGCTGAGACGGTGGTCGTTGCTGTGCTTGCTGGGGAGTGGGTGTCTGTTGTTGATTTGTTTGTTGCGCCGCCTGTTGTGCCGCATTGTTCTGCTGCTGCTGCTGCTGCTGCTGCTGGCCCGTCTGGCCATTCGCATTCGCATTCGCATTCGCATTCGCATTACCCCCCGGAGCAGCAGCAACAGAAGTATTTCCGTTCGTCGCACCATTCGTCGCACCAGGCTCCGTCTTGACCGCGCCAGGGGCAGAAGAAATAGACGCCTCCCCGCCGGCCGTCCCCGGTCTCGAACCAGCACCATCTTGCTTCGGCAGCTGAGGAGACGCCGCGCCCGGCTGCCCAGGATTCGAAGCCGCCGCCGCCGACTGCGCCCGCTGCCGCGCCTTCTCCTTCGCCTCCTGGTTCTTCTTGATCACCGCCATGTCCTCCCGGTTGGTCCGCAGCTGGAAGTACAGCGCCTGCGGGTACGACTTGGCAATCTTGGTCAGGATCTGGTGCACCCGCGGCGCCTCCTTGTGGCCCAGCCCCGTCAGCAGCTGCGGGATGAACGTGATCCAGTACCAGATCGGCGTCTCGCCCTTGAAGTCGTCGAACCCGGCCGCGATCGTCCCGCTCGCGTCGTCCAGGCTCAGCAGCCACAGGATCCGCGACAGCAGCTTCCGCGACTTGGCGTTCTTGTAGCTCCCCGCCGCCTGCAGGTACGACGTCACCGCCTGCCGCGCCGAGTTGAGGTCCGTCGGGTCCTCCTTGAACTTCCGCTCGTTGAAGTACCCCCACTCGGCCCACGCCTTGGCCGCCGTGATGTCGAAGAACAGCGCCGTGCCGAACGCCTGGTCCGCCTCCTCCTTCTGGTTGAGCTTCTCCAGGAACATGCCCTTGAGCGTGTAGAACTCGGCCTTCTGCGGCGGGTTGAAGTAGCCGAGGTTCGTGTTGTTGATGACGTCCAGCCCGCTCGTGAGCTCCTCCGGGTTCTCGTAGTGGCACTTGGCCTGCTCCCGCAGCTTCAGGAACGCCTCCTGGATCTCGATGTTCGGGAGCGTGTAGATGCGGCTCAGCTGGCTGATGCACACCTCGGGCAGGTTGTGCTTGCGTGCCACGTGCGCGAACCGGTTGATGATCCACGCCGTCTCGTGGTAGCCGCGGTACGCGAACGACGCCCCGCTGGTGTTCTGCTGCCCGCCCCCCTGCTGCGGCAGGAGCTGCAGGTACGTCTGGTTGATGAGCCCGAAGATGTGCTGGCGCCAGGTGACGAGGTCCTGCCACGCCGTGATGTCGTCCCACACGTTGGGCAGCCGGTCGCGCCACGCCGCCAGGAGAAGCTTGAGCTCGCCCGACTTGACGTCGAGGTTCGCCTGCGTCGTGCCCGCCAGGCTCTGGCAGATCACCTGCGCGTCGTGCAGCTCCACCAGCTGCTGGAAGTTCTGCAGCAGGGGCACGTGGGCCCGCGTCAGCCGCTGCGGCAGCTGGTGCCACTTCCGGATCGAGAGCTGGATCGCCTCGTCGCACGACTTGGCAAACTCGACCGGCGACTCCTGCTTGTTGTAAAACTTGAGCAGCGACATGAACGCCTGGAAGAAGGCCCGGCGCGGCGTCGGCGCGTCCATGACCCCCTTGATGAGCGTGTCCAGGGCTTCGCGCTGCGCGCTGTCCTGCCACATCTCCATGTTCCGCCAGGCGCACTCGAGCAGCAGGTCCTGGAAATTCTCGTGCTTGGCAAAGTCCTGCAAAATGTCCCACTGCTGGAGCTTCTGCGCGCAGAGCACCCAGTGGTCCTCCCAGATCATGTACTCCCCCTGCGAGAACGGGACCACGCCGGTCCGCGCCTTGATCTGCGCCGTCTCGTACATCTTCTGCGCCTTATCCCACATGCCGTTCTGCTCGTAGGAGAGCGCCGCGTTGGTCTCGACGAACTGGCACCGCCGCCGCCACGTGCCGTAGAACATGTCGTCCTCCTGGAGCGTGGCGTACAGGTCGACGAGCGCGTCGAGGTTGCTCTCGCGCACCTTGACCGACTCGACCTCCGGCTGCATGGCCGCCCTTTCCAGCTGCACGAGCGCCGTGTACCAAGCGTCGTACGTCTTGGCCTCGTACTTGAGCACGTGCGGCGGCATCTTGCAGTCGGGCCACGCCTTGGCCGCGCCCTCCAGGAGGGACTGGACCACGTTGGGACGCTTGTCGATCTGACGGCTGTGGTAGTCCTTCGTCAGGAGCGTCACCATGCCCCGTTCGAGATCCGTCCGTTCATCCCGGGCCGTGGCCGACCAGTAGAGCGGGAACAGGGCCACCCAGAGCTGGTGCGCCAAGGTCGTGTCGGCGTGCTGGAGCTGGCCGAGCGGTTCGACCAAGTCGCGGACCTTGAGGTCGGCCATCTCGCTCATGAACCGACGATGCTGTGCCATGAGGGCGTCGTACTTGTCGTCCGCCATGTTCGACGGCTCTCGGGTGTCCCTGGCGTAGACGGCACACAGCCGGCTGACGGGCATGATCCGGAAATCCTCGTGGTGCAGCTGCGCGGCCGTGTTCAGCTCGACGCCGCCCAGTAGGAGCTGAGACGCCTGGGCGAGCCAGAAGCTATCGGCGAGCGTGTCCCAGTTCTGCGACGTCAGCACGTAAGAGAGCCGCGCCGTGGCCGTCTTGGAGAGGCTCTTGTCGAAGATGGCCATGAATCGGTTTCGCATGTGCACATCTTGCGCCCTGGTGCCTATCAAGAACGCGTGCTCCATCCGAACGGTGAGTTCTGTCCGTGCGATCTTCGGGTCTTCGTAGATCCGGATAACGAGGTCCAGGAACTTGGACAGCATGGTCGGGTCTTGTCGGTGCTCGAACGAGAGCATCTTGTGCAGCACAGCCGTCTTCTCCTTAAGCGTGGGCCACGTGCCCTCGGACCGGAATACCCAGCCCTCCACCATGGAGAGGATCTCCTCGCACAAGGCCATGTGCATCGACTTCTCCACAAGCGTGGCCAGGACGCTGAGGAAAGGCCGACGGTGATCGCCCAGCACTTCCATCCGCGAGGAAATGGTCTGCATGGCCCTGAGCATCAGAGTGGTGGAGATCTCGAGGTCGTCGGGCGACATCTCGCCAGGCGGGGGAGAAGCGTCAGGGCCCCTGTTAGCGGCGGCGGCGGCGGCGGCCGGACCGGCTTGCAAGCTAGCTTGGATGGTGTAGTTTTGAACGTGTTCGCGGGCCAGTTTGCTCTGCAAGGCTTTCATGAGGACGGGGATGTGCTGGTCGATCACCGTGGGCTTGCGGTGACCCAGCGACCACAGGAGATTGACCCCGGAGGTGTAGTTACCGGCCGCCATGGCCTCCCCGGCCATCGCAGACAGCGACTGGATGAATTCGGACGTCGGGGAATCCGTGTCGACCTCCGCGTCGGCATCTTCCATGGGGACGTCTTCGGGCACGGAATCCAAGACCCGTTTGATCGTCGGTTTGATATCCCGGCCGCCGTCGAAGTTCGGGTCCGCCACGTGAAGGCAGTCTTGCACCTCCGGGATCTCGCTCTTCAGACACTTGTCGAGAACCTTCTGCATCGAAGCAATGTTCCTCTGTATCCAGTCGTCCGACTTGAAGTGAAGGATGATCCTGACAATCTGGAGCGTGTTGATCACGCTCGTCAAGAACTTGTCGTCGAACTTGTCCTTGTCGGACGGATCGGTGGCCAGAACCGCCTGCGTCTTATCGCTGGCCAGAACCGCCTCGGTCACATGGGGGAACAGGTCGACGTCCAGGTCGGCCCAGTACTGCGGTTGGAGCAGGTTGTAGAGGAGGGCCATCGCCTTCTGGTACAGCTCGGGTTGAGGCGTCGGCAAAGCGTTCACAGACGACGGCTCCTTCGTCTTGGTAGACGGGAGCTGATACCTCTCGTTGAGTTGGGCGATGAACTCGATCAGATACCTCACCATCTTAAGGCGGCCCACGGGGGGGATCTGATAGTCGTTCTGGCCGGCCGGGAGCTGCCTAGCCGTCGGCGGCGAGGACATGACCTGATCACCACCACCCTCCAGCTTCCGCTTCCTAGCGGCTGGGGACAAGGAGGACGCGTCGACGACGTCGCGGGCCATGGCGTCGCCGGTGGCCTCCACCCTCCTCTGCTCCCAGAGCCAAATCAACCACATCATGTTCAGGGCGAGCTTCTTAGACTCTTGCGACGCATTGGAAGGCATGGCCACCTTCCTCAGCGACGTGATCAGGAGCATGGCGTACTTGTCTCGCGACTCGTAGAAGAGATCGGGGTGCCGGACAAGGAAGTTGAACGTGCTCGTCATCTGCTGGATGTTCAAGCCTTCGTCGGCGAGGACCCTGCGCGGTGCCACGGCCCAGGCCGCGTTCCTATCGTTCGGCGCAGTGCCCAGCCGCTTCGGAAGGACCGGTGCGATCAGCTCCAGGGCCTGCGTCACGAGCGCCCGGCCTTCGTTCTGGTTGGTCTTGAGCAGCGACACGTACACCTGCGTGACGATCTTGACCGGCGTCTCGTACAACGCGATGAAATACCCAATGACAACATACGCGGCATGTTTGTTGACGACGTCGTCGAGCCGGATGAAGGTCCAGCAGCTCTTAATGATGTCTTTCCTGGCCTCCTGGATGGTCTGGTGGTGGTACTTGACGAGCATGGCAGACAGCTGGAGAACCTCGAACCTCGTGTGGTCGATCCCGGGCTGGGACAGGTCGTCCGCGTCTTGGCTGGTGTCCTGGTGCGTCTTCCAGATCTTGGTCGTGACCGCGTCGATCACGCTTCGATCCATCAGGCGAGGAGTCCCCTGCGGCGGCGCATTCCAATTTTCTTGCACGTCCATGGCGATGATGGGGTTGACGACGTAGTGCAGCAGGAAGCGCTTCATCTTCTGGGAGACGTTCTTGGACGAGTACGCATCGAGGCACTTGAGGACGGCCGCTTTCCAGACGTCGACGGAACCGCTGTTGATGATATTCTTGTAGATGTATGAGATGAGCGGCTGGGCGTCTCGGAAATCCCTAGCCGTGACCGCCTCGGCCAAGCTGAGGAGCGAATCCAAGTCCTTCTGACTCCTCTCGAGGGACTTCAAGAAGATGGACATGACCTGCTCTAGAGCCTGAGATGCCGGCAGGCGGAGGGTCGCCGCGATGGAGTAGTTGCGCAACTCGCTCTCGAGCTCCTTGCCTGCCTGTCTCAACCATGCCAGGATCTCCCTCTTCTCGACCCAACCTTCGGAGCCGGGCCACCGGCTCAAGGAGTTGAGGAGGTTGACGGTGTTGATGACGGCCACAAACTTGGCGCCCTGGTCCTTGGAGGCGATTTCCTGGCAGGTCTGGATGAGACCGTCCACGGCGGCGACCGCCTCCCTCCGGAGCGGACCACTGTCTGGGTGAGCGAGCACTTGAGCCAAGAAGCGACCGTACTTCAGCTCGCCCATCTTCGGCAACAAGAAAGCCCACATCTCGGCCGGATACCGGTTGAGATACTTGTAGAGGGGCGCGCGGAACGGGCTGATCTGCGTCCGCCGCAGCTTCTCCTCGAGGTCCAATACCAGGTCGATCAACCGATCTTTGAACGTCTCGGCGGCCGGAGGGAGGAGGTGGAAGATGTTAAAGACCGCCGCCACAACCTTCATCTGCGCATGTTGCTCGAAGTAGGTGAAAGAGAGCAGGTGTAGTACCCCCGGGTCAGCCAGGACCTTGACATGATCCAACAGACGAGCTCCGATTTCCACTTTGAAGTACGTGGTAAGCAGCTTAAGCAACCGCGCCAGGTTGTCGAGCCCGTGGCAGGTGAGTTTCTTCGGGTCTTGGAGATTGGCCAGCACGGGTCGGAGCCCTCCCTGAAGCAGGTCCTTGGGCAGCTTGTTTGTCTGCTGCAACACGGATTTGAGAGCGTCGTTGGCGGCATCTATGGTGGCCTTCGAGTCGGAGTACAGCGACTTGAAGAAGACGGAGACAATCTTGGCTCGCGTCGCCGCGGTGTTCTGTCCCTTGGCAAAGTCGTCGAACCCCATGGCCGTGCTCAGGAGCTTGATGCAGGCCACCCGCAAGTTGACGATGTACTCGTGCGTCCGGAACTCGGCGGGCTTGTTCGCCAAGGACTCGTCGCTGGCATCGGCCAGGGCAAGCGACTCCATCAGAAGTCTGTTCAGATGTTCGTCGAACACGACCCAGTCGTGCTTGAGCGTCATGTGGTACGTCATGGCATCGATGTAGCCGATCTGAACGGGGAACGGCAGCGCGCGCAGGGGCTTCGAATAGATCGGCTGGAGGAATCGGTCCTTGTAAGGCGCAATGAGCTCCCACACCTCGCACGACGCCGCCTTGGCGATCAGCTCCAGAGACCTCTTCGCCGTCTCGCGGACGTGCCGGTTCATATGCGACAGTTCGCTGTTGAAGTGCATGCAGATCTGGGGAAGACGGTTGCGCTGCTGCTGCTGTTGCTGCTGCTGCTGCTGATGGTGTTGCTGCTGCTGTTGGCCGGGAGGCATGGGAACCGGAAGGACGTCTTCCTTCTTGATGTTCTTGGTCACCCTCTGCAAAAGGGTCTCGAGGGTCACTTGCGCAGTCGACCTCGTCTTCTCGGGCAAATCCTGAGGCATGTCCTTCACGACATACATGAGCGCACGGATGAACTCCGTCTGCTTGCCGGTAGCCCACTGGTCTCCTAGGTTCAGCTCCGTGAGGAGGAAGTTGATGCCTATGGTGCCTCCGGCTTTGGTGAACCATTCTTCCTCGTAGCACGCGTGGCAGAAGGTCGAGGCCAGGTTGTTGACAAAGGGGAGGCGTGCCACGGCATGCGTCGATCCCATGATGGCCGTCGCCGTGCTGTAGATTTCGCGGATGGCCCGCTTCGCCGAATCCCGGACGTCCGGATGTTCCGACGACAGCGACTCGACGATGGCGTCGGAGAAGACTCGAGTGGAGATGTAGAGAGGGCCCTCGCCTGCATTGGGGTTGAACTGGCTGTAGGCATGCTTCGCATCCACGAGTGACCGGCCAATCTCGACGATGGTGAAGTGCCTCGCAACGTTGACAAGGAACGAGCTGGCGTCCTCCTTGAAGTCGGGCAACGATTCCGCGAACATGATCGCTTTGAGCAGGTTCCTCACCAGGATGTCCTGTTCATTCTTCTTGGCGATGGACCTCTCTCGATCGGAGACGTCGAACGCAGACAGGTCAGCGTCGAGCTTCCTGGAGAGGAAGTCCTGCGCTTGGAGCCGGAGCAGCCTCGGGAGATCGTCTGGCAAGTTATCGAAGCCGATCCTCAACTTCAGCTGGGACTTGATGTAATGGAACGACTGCTTTTTGTAATAGCCGTCATGCTGGCGGGACTGGTTGTTGCCCTTACTCGGCCTGGGGGCCTCCATGAGCTTGCGGATGGCCAGGTCGATGCCCAGCTCCGCGGGAAGCGCTCTGTCCTTCTTCGAGCCCACGAGCCGAATATCAAAAGTGGTTGGGTCATCTGCGAATTCTGAAAAGTCGAGAGGCTGCGGTCCAGTAATGTACTTTCGATTCCTGCCACCGAGCTTTCCGAGGATCCTCATCGTCGTGTGCGCATGGAAATGGCTGTAGGGATGGGGCCGGAGATGGTCGAACAGGGCCGTCATGAGCTCGTCGATGACCGGCGCCATGATGGGATCGAGATAGTCAGCCGTCAGATTGTCGACACAGAGCTCCAGGGTCCTCAGACCCTGGCCGACGAGGTCGGTGCTGGCGCGCAGGGCGACCACCAAGGGCCGCATGAGGAAGCTGAGGTGCGGGAGCAGATTGCTCAGCCGAGCGGGCACCGTAAGACACAGCTCCACGTAGAGATCACGCTCCGACGGTTTCCGTGCGGCCATCAGGAGTGTGTTCAGTACGTCAAGAAGCATCTCCAGCAGAGGGAGAATCTGCTTGTAGAGGTGTTCAAACTTGCCGCCGCCGATGCTTCGGAACAGCGATCTCAGTAGGAAGAAGTAGTTCATAGGTTCCTCGGCCCGCGTGGAGAGCTCGATGGACTGGGTGACAATGTCGACAACGTGAGGGAGCAAGACCTGTTCATTTTGGTTTGCGAACAAGGTAACGGCCATGAAAGCCAGCTTGAAGAGTCGCAACAGGATTGCGGACCTCTTTATGTCTGCCGAACCGACCTGGTCTATTCTGTCCATCAAAAAGCGCAGCAGCATGCCGCAGAAGCTAGGCGATGTGGCCTCGCTCGCTAGGAAGAACTGCATGATATGCAACAGCCCCGTGTGCTCGAAGATCATGTCGTAGAGGTGAGGGATCTCCTGCTGGAAAACCTCGTGGAAGGTGGCGGGATCGATACAGTGAAACACGGTCGCGAACGTCTCCAGCAGGTCTTTCTCCTCCTTACTGCTCGAAACCATGTAGAAATTGGCCATGTACTCGACGGGAGACGTGTACTGGGCCTCGCTGCTGGGTTTCTCGGTCTCGTAGTAACGGAAGACATAAGCACCTTGGCGGAAGAGCTTCACGATGATCTTGACCTCCTCGGCGGTGAAGCCATAAGCCACGTCCTGCCACTGGGGGGGCGCGTTCTGGAGGTTGACATTGGCCACGGCGTTGCAGCCCCTGAGCTGATAGAACGTGTTCTTCAATCCATTCATAAGGTTTCGGAACAGGAACTTGTTGTCGGCGACGGGGTCCGCGCCCCTCTCGCGAGGGTTGCTGGTTTTGATGGGCATCGCGGTGAAGATGTCGGTCTCATCCCAGTCGGGCGGTTGATCCCTGTCGGCGAGGTAGCTCTCGGCCTTGCCGTCGGCGGCCTGCTGGTGATACAGCTTGGAGAGCTTCACGGCATTGGGGTACTGGCGATTCATGGCTTCGAACTTGTCCGCAATGGCGCTTAGGATCATCATCAGATAGTGCCGGGCATCGACCTTGTCCTGGAGCTTGGCGATGCACTCGGCCATGTTCAGAAGCAGCTTCGCACTCATGGTCTGGAAGCTCGTCCCCGGGTAGTTGTCCTGCAAGTTCTTCGTGTAGACCTCCACCGTCCTGCGAATCTGGTCGGGTGTAAGCTGGTCCCTGACGTGGTGGATCAGGTCCGCCAGCATGCTGTAGGCGAGAGGCCGCATGGTCTCGTGTACGGTGAGCCCATCTCCAATCAGGGTCCTCTCATCCAGGAGCTCGCCAATCTTGGGCAGAAAGATCTTGCGAAAGTTGAAATTGATGATATGCCGAATAGCAACAAGCAGTTCCTTGCGCGTGCTCGACTTCTCTCGGGGACAATCCTTGAGGAGTCTGACGACAATTTCCGGCAGGGTCGGCAAAAAGTCCTGCAGCTTCTGGGAGTGCTGGCGGAGAAGGTAGGCGAGAAAGCTCATAGTCTTCACCTGAGCCGCAATGAATTCGCCAAAGGCCGCCCGGTTCCTGATGAGAGGGCTGACTCCGGTGAAAATGTCCCCCCCCCTCGCTTTAGCGTCTGCATGTGCTTGTCGCTGCGCACTCGCTTGCAGGCAGAGGAAGCCTTTGATGAGCGGCACGAATGCCGTGACGTTCGAGGCGACGAGGTTCTTGTACGCCGGAAACAGCGAGACGACGATGATGGGGCATTCTGAAAGGACCTTGAAGGAGGACATGCCCTTGAGGAGCATCCGATTCTGTTGCTGAGGATCGGGGCCGAGATCGGTTACCGAGGCGACGGGTGATCCGGGTCGAGGGGACTGAAAGTTGGTCTGGGAACTCCCCGGGGTCGAGGGCGCACCGGCGGCGGCATTGGAAGGGACGGATGTGTTATCGAGCTGCTCGCGTACGACCTTGTCCATTTGCCTGAACAAATCCTGGATCAGCGACAGGAAAGGCTGCACCTTCTGTCCCAACACCTTATGTTGGTGCCGCATGATGTCGGAGATGATCTTGACACATAGCGTAGCATTGTCTTCGTTATCGGTCCGCACGAGTTGCATGAGGAGGTCGACAACCTCTTCAGCGTAAGGTTCGAAGGGTTCGGTCGGGACGTATGCGGTCGGTAGTCTGTGGAGGATTTCTAGAATGCAGTTGCGGAGTTTCTGGTGCGAGTTAGAAGGAAGGGCATCTCCTGTGAGAAAGAAGGGGAGGCAATCGGGAGCCTTACCTGCTCCGGGGAGCTGCTTTGGAAGATGCATGGTCCCCTCAATATGCTGATGAAGATTGGCATCAACTTCTTGAGGAAAGGTGTGTAGATGGGACCTGTGGTGTAGTGATCTAAACTGTCTCGCAAGGTAGTTGCTGCCTCAACCCTGACCTTCGGATCTGTTGTCATCAAGATGATGTCAGTAGACCATTACTGTAGAGACGCGTGGCAATGTAAAGAGCACGCAACAGTCGAGGTGCAATAGGAGGAGTTCCTACCTAGGTCCGGCGTGCTGAGTCGCTTGACGACATCGTCTATCGTCGTGCCAGACATTACGGCAGCCCTTACGACGATGGAAGGTTGCAAGCGCCGCGTTGGCTCATGGAGGTCGAGAAATCGGGCAGCGTCGTCGTAATCGGGTAGTGTTTTGCGACAGTACTGAACTGGCTGGTAGGGTATGGTCTGTATGGCCCAAGTCGTCTACCTAGGGAAGAAGGAGGAAGATGATATCGAAGGTGGGTATGGAGGGGTATCGTATCTCTGGTTCAGTAGAAGGAAAGGGACAAAAAGACGGGACGGAGGAAAAGGAAAATCGAAGGAAAGCTCCTACAGCACCATTCCGTAGCTGCCCTTTGTATTCATTTGCAGCAGAGGGCTACTACAAGCTTCAAAGGTGGGTAGTATCCCGACAATCGTATGTGGAGAGGGAAGTGGTAATGCAGGCACTCGAGGTTGGTCCTAGGAATCAAAGGTGCCTGTAGACGTGAAATTTCCATGAACGCGAAAAGCTGGGGGATCCCGTCACCAATTCACTTGACGCTAGGAAGTGCAAAATCTTTAATCCGGAGTACCTATATCTTTAGTAGCTTGTTGTAATTGGTTGAATGCATCTAATCTTATCTTATCCAAGCTGGTGCTCTTATCAACAACATAATTCAGGAGATGGATCGCGAGATTACGGATAATAACCTGTGACTCCTTCTGTCCCCCCTCTAGTTCTTAGGCCCAGTGGGCCTTGGATATTTCACTCGATTACTCGCTTTTCATCTCCCGCTATGTGTTACTTTATCTTTGACACTTCTTAGAATGTACTAGAATTTGGCTTTCGTCTCTTCGTCTATTCGTCTTTTACACGTGTAGATCCTTCCTTCACTCACTTATTCGGTTCGATTATAGACCAATATCATCCTTCGCAGCTTCGCTTTGGCCTCTTGCAAACATCCTAGGAAGTTGTACGGGGTGTGAAAGACTTCCGGTTGAACCTTCTCTCCGCAGAAACACCCTAATATTGACTGACTTTGTGTCTCGACTCATAAACTCCCCGAAGAAGAAAAGGGCCCTGGAAACTTACAGAGCCGGCGTGGCGTTAAGTGGGATCTGTAGCCAGAGTTCTCCATCTGCCATACTCACATCTCTCTTCAAACACCATCCCCGAGAGTCTCGCGAAGCTTCACAAAATGAGTGGACAACTCACGGCTTTCGTTTATGGTAAGTACGCATTATATGATCCCTGACATCCATCTGAGGACTTATAGCAGGAGAAGAAAAGCTCACGGATTTTCGCAGGCACCCTGGTACTGCTGCCCTCCCGCCCTTCCAAGCTTCTACACGCATGACTGACCCCATCTTTCTCTACAGATGGACCCTCGTGTCTTCTTCAGGGTCGTGCAGGGCAATTCCGACCCGCCAGAGGTCATCCGGAACCTCTACACCTTCACGCCCGCCATCCTGCACGGCTATTGTCGCCACCGCGTCCGAACTGCCGACTATCCCGGCATCATCCCCGAAGAAGGCCGTTCGGTCCGAGGCATTTACGTCACCGGCTTGACGGATGCCAACATCGATAAGCTCGATTCCTTCGAAGGCGACGAGTACGAGCGTCGGACCGTCAAGGTCAAGCTTCTGGAGCAAGTCGGTGATGATGATGCCGAGGGCGAGAGCTTGGTCGAGGGCGAGGAGAAGACGGCCGACACGTACGTGTTCATTTATCCCGACCAGATTGAGCGCGGCGAGTGGGATTTTGAGCATTTCCGCCGTGAGAGGCTCAGGTACTGGGCGAGGGAGGAGTTCTCCTTCGATGATGGTGAGTATCGCCCTGTGAATTTGCCAAGCTCCGTGCCCGTCGAAATTTGGTTGCTAATGCATAGTGCTATAGCGGTTGACGAAGCCGTCTGAGGTAGCCCAACAAAAACGGACTCTGCTGAGAATATGAGGCTAGGACATTGGGCAGTAGAGAAGCACTTTAGAAACAAGATTTAACTCAGTCAAAGACATCATTCCCACAGGTGCGCCTGGAGATCAGCTCCGGACTTTTCTCTCTAATGTTGGCATCAGTCCCCCTGTCTAGACGGATAACATGATCAGGACATATAAGTGTTCTGCACCATTTGATACCAAGGACGGTCTTTGACCATATCCCGCATATCGAGGACATCCTATCAGGCATGGATTTCTTCTCGCATGAACTTGATCAAGGATTTGCCTTGCCCTAGCTCCTAAAATAATCTCTTGCTAACCATTCAGAAGACTATACAGGCAGTCCAACCACCAATTTGCTGGGGAGGAAAAAGGGGTACACGCCCTCACTTCATGTGTGCCGGTGATCTTCAGCCCTTCTGTTTCAGCGATCAAGGCTCAATTTCCCGTCTCTTCAACGAGACAAGTGCCTAAATATGGCCCGCTACGCCAGTTCATTGGCAGTAGAGCTGTTTTGCAGGATCGACCCATATCATGGAGGGTCCCTCGCATTACCATGAGTGGCGTGGGTGAGTGTCAACATGGACGAAGGACACAGGATGTTATCGGGACAAGCCTGCTGGAGATGAAGGTCATCTGGCAGACCTAGGATTGAAAGATACGCAATATCAGGCATGGTCATGCTAACATGTCAGGGGGAGGAGTATGGTGTGTTCCACTAGGGATCTCTCGCGGGCCGAACACAAAGGGGAAGCAAAGACGAAATTGGTGGAAAACGTGCGTGATACTGTAGGAACATTCGAGGACGATATGGCCCAGCAGGCAGAACACGCCGGACGACGACTTGCCATCTTCTCACCATCAACCTAAGCTCCCACAGGCTCTGCCATCCGTCTCAGTGGCACCATTTGGTGGCTTTGGAAGCAAGAGGCGTTCAGATGAAGGTGATCACTGTTGTGAAACAGCAGCCATGCCCGTACGGGCGGCATAGGCTTGGTGCATGTGTGTTCTGGTGCCCTCCCCAATAAGATGTCGAGACGTACGCGTGGCTACTTATGACAGCTCACTCGTCCTTCCGGCGAGTTCAGGTAATTAGACTGGATTCATCGAAATTGCCACAAGGGAGCAGCACAAAACAATGGTTGCGGACGGCATCACACGAACATGGCCCAGCATCTCAAAGGGTTAGCTAATTGGATACGTGGTTGGTCCTCCAATCTTGCCACTCATTAGACCAGAGGCACGGGCCGTTTAGTTTGAATTTCCCGTCATATTTCATGGAAGGGAACTTTTGTGTCGTTTACGGGAGGGAGGATGGTCATCACATGTTACACTGTTGAGTAGGAACACTGAGGAATTACTACCATTCATGCATTTGCAGAATGGACTCTTCGAACAGGTCATCGAACATTGGGGTCAGTGAGAGGCATAGGAGCCATAGATCGAGACGAATGGCCGGGGGAAGGCGGATAGCCAACACCAACACCTTGGAGATCTAAGTTCATGCGAACAGCCAGAGGCCATGTTGTGGCGAGGTCGCCCAGGCAAGAATTCCTCGGCTGACTGGGTGGGGGGGCAGAGCGACTTGGGTTTGGCCCTTCCAAGAAATTAATCTTGCCCTTTAATCACGGGGTTGACCAACGGGATCGTTCGCTGGCCCTCAGAGGAGATTCAGGAACACCGCCACTCACTTTCTCTACAACGTACCCGTCCATGTAAATTTCTGGGGCGCACCCTCACTAGCATCTCATCCATGACCTTGGCTGAGGAGCGGGATCCTCGCTTCATCGCCGGGGCAGGAGGCGGAGACAGCTCGGGGAATTACGTTGGAGGAAACCATGGGGTTGGGGTTGGCCTAGCCCGTGCCCGTATAAACCGAAAACTGATATATGTCCGGAAGCTGGGATTAGGGCAGATTACCTAGGACCGTAGTCGAAGGACCGTAGTCGAAGTAACGTAACGTTCTGGGATGGGAATCGAGACGAGGTTTCCAAGAGGTCTTCTCATCGTTACTTTTCGTCATATTCGTCTTGCCTCGGCGACGACTGACCTCTCAGGGTAGACGCGAACTCATCTCACCCCGGCTGGCACTGTCCGAAATTGACACACTGTACACATCATCGGCGTCACGACAACTTACGCAGGCGGTAATGGACTGGCTCAGAGCGTGACAGCGAGTACTAAACGTAGGGCGAGGTCGGCGTCCTTGGTCCCGGTCACATAGCTGGTCGCATGTATTGAAGGGCAGTTGTTGAGAGCAAGGTTCGAAACAGTAAAAATAGAGACAAAGAGAAGAAGCGCGCGAAAAAGTGTCGGTGAAGTGGTGAAGTGGTGAAGCGGTGCTGCCAACGTCTTTACCGACCCGTGGGTTTGGATACGGCGCTTACATGAGGCCGGCCAAGCTGGCCACATGGTCTGAAGGTCAAGTTGGAACCGGCCGAGAACGGTCGAGAAGACGTCAAACGGAAAGGATAAAAAAAAAAAAAAACCAAAGGAAAAAAAAGAAGTGTCGGTGAAGTGGTTTTGTCGACGGGTTTGCAGACCCGTGGGTTTGGATACAGCGCTTACATCAACGTTTTTGCTGGACTGATTCCAAAGCCCAACATCCAGTTAAGGCCATAGTAAGAAAGGTCCGTTGGGCAGCTAGAGGGACCGCGATGCAAACACACAACTCATCGTATGGCTGGCGCTTTAACGTGTCGTATCGTAGCTCGTCGGCTGTAGCGGCGCAAAGAGGCGGCATTATTACGTTAGGTTCGAAGTTGTTCGCGGCTTTCAGATGTCGCGATGGATATTTCGAAGGTGCAGTGTGTTGTCATTGTCATGTCGTGCTTCTGGGAGGTGACTGGCTGCTGGGAGATGGAGGAAGATCATGCTAGGCCAAATTGGGCGAAGTACCCACCATGGTGAAACCAGGAGCGTTTCGAAAACGTGACTTAGTCATCATCTTGAAGAGGGATGCACGAAGTACTTACGCAAGTAACCCCGCCAAGATCGATGGCTGACAAGCGTGAGCCATTAACCATGCCGTGCGTAGCCACAACGATCAAGGCAGCCATGTGAAGTGCTGTTGAGCGATATAATTGACTCTATGGAGCAAGATGCAAGTGCGAACAAAGTACATACGATACAGCAGAAGAGAAGTACTTCGCACAACACCTGACGTAACAGTTCCAAGGCTCCGATGGTACCTTACATATCTCGTTCTGCGGGCTACCCTCGTAAATAGAGCCGGGGTGACATCGGCCATCCCTTCCGGCAAGTTCCCGTCCAGAGATTGGGACTTTTGGTCCTTGGTACCTGCCGTGGTACCGAGCGAAAACACTGAAAACTCTGCCTGCCACAAGTGGAGCAGTCCACAGTTCTCAGTTCTTCCTTCCCCGGCCCTTGTTCCTTCTCTCCCCCGCACCCCTCCCCTTTTACCTAGGGCCGGTTTTTTGTGTGCCAAGCCAAAACGTTGCCCTCTCCTCCACTCTCGTTGACCTGGACCGTTTCCCCCACACCACCAGCTTTCGATTGCCCAAACAGAACTGTCGACGGGAAAACATCCCATCTTTTTTCATCCGGATCTGTCGACAATATCAAGAACCAGTTCCGACTAAAAGAAGCGGACTCTATCCTAAAAAGATTCTGCCCTGGCTAGAATGAAACGGCCCCGTGGGCTAGAACAACCGACTCGGACTTAGATCACGTAGCCCTCCTTGTTCGACGGGTCTTAGCCGCACTTTCACCGAGCCAGCCTGACTGCCGTTTTGCGATTCGATCGAATTGCCTCCAAGTGGCTCTCTCTGCCACGTTGGAAGTTGGGTACCTGCGTTGGTGCCTTGTTAGTGCGCCGTTTTCTTTGGCTTCTTTCCTTCCCCGTGGGTTCGGAAGATCCCCTTAGTATCGTCGTTGGTTCTTCCCTCTGGTGCCTGGAACTCGAGTCAAGTCGTCTCAACTGCCGATAACCATGATAGAAACGAAGATGCTTGATATCAATTACCTGTGCGTCCTTATGGGAGGAATGACTTTGGGGCATTCAGCTCCTCCCTTCCGACGACCGGTTCGTCGCCTCCTGGAGGCATGTCAGACTGATACGGTAATGCTTTCTGGCTGTTCTGCCCCGCTTATTGGCATCTTTTGCCCTGAGCCAGACATTGACGACGAAAGACGTTGCACTTCACACTCACATATCGTACGGATTCGTATCCGTACGAAGTACAGTAATTGCTACTCCGTACAGCAAAGGAAACGATTGAGTGGTGTCGGGCGAATGCGAGATGTCATGAGCCTGGTGCTGCATCGAACATATGACTGGCCACCCGATCGAGACCAGGGTTACAACGCACATACAGCCAGACTCTATGCTCCGACCGCACGGTTCGGTCTGCCCTCCTCATTGGAGGCCCCTCCTGCGGCCAGGTGGTCAGGTACAAACGTACGGATACCCCCGTACAGTACAGGCGTACGGATACGTTGTACAGTACGTTGTATCCACATTCGCCGATCCCAACCCCCCGTCAGAATCCGAGTCTTGGCCACCACAAAGGCCAACGAACACGAACGCGACTCGCTTGTCCTATTCATCGTCTTCAAACTTGGTCCAATTATCCGCACTTCATACTCCGTACGGGCGAAGAGCCGATGTTGATAGGGTCAGCTGGCGCGTGAACAGTTCTTTGTTCCTGTCGCGTCATGAAGCAGAAGACTATTTCGGCCTTGGTCCACCAGCTTCTCTAACCGTCTCAGACGGGCGGGGGAAACGGCGAGAAAGACAGAAAGAGGGCGGGAAAACAGAGACCGTTGACGCAGTTTGAGGCATGTTGCGTTCCCTTTTTCTATTGCTTCTTTTCTTTCTTTCTCTTCGGTCTGCCGCACTACTCATTTGCTGCTGCAGTTCTCCCCTTCCGCCCCGGTTATACTCTTCCATCTCGGCCGTTCGAACCCCATCGTGCCACAAGAAAATGGTACCTTGCAGTAGCTCCTCTTGTTTGCCTGCGACCTGCAACCTGGCTCCCGTGTTTTCACAAGGAAAACCGTCCTGATCATGCCGTGCTTGGCCCGCGATTTTACCACGTACAACGTAATTACTCAGTAGGACTTCGTTCGAGCCTACCAATCCCATATTACAGCGTACAACGTACATATGAGAAACGGAAACGGGAAATTTCCGTTCTGCGCATCATCCTATCGCATCGCAACCTGCCTCTTTCGACATGGGATGTACAACGTACGTTGTAGGGACAGGGTGTCCCCCTCCCCCTCTTCCAGCCCGAGTCAGGGGTCAGGACTTTTTCCCCTCCCAAGATCCCTCAGATCCCTCCCATTACCCCTGGCAGGCTCTCCACCCATGCCAGGTTACCCCTGTCTGGTCTTTTTCCCTCGGGTCCAGGGCGAAACAAGCCGATGACACCGCTCCACCCTATCAACGGCTTGAAGTCTTCCCCGACCACTCTCAACCACCAGCGCACGCTCCCTGGGTCGATCCGGCATGCCTCGAAACACGTCCTCCATGTGTTGAATCTCAGCCTGAGTGGCTACGCCGTTCCTGACCTTGACCCTGTTTTGGGATCCACGGGGACAGCCCGTGCCTTCTCGACCAGCCCAGCTGTTCAATCCTGTCTTTTTCTTCTTCCTCTCACTCTCCACCGTCCGACCCAAGTCCCCGAGTCCTTGTTCGAGCATCCACATGGCGGGAGCCAGTCGTCTCCTCCGCCCATGCCTAGTTCCGCTGCGGTTCCTGTTTGCCCCCTAGGTCATGCCTGAATCGGCATTTCGTGGCTCCGCCCTGTCACTCCATTCCTCTCCTCCCTCACGAGCTTATGTTTATGCTGTTTTATAAGAATGGCTCGCCCTGCCCCCCTCTAACCCCCCCGGAACCTCCTTTTTCATCCATCACTAGTCTACGCTGCATTCCTTTCGTAGGCTTCGTTGAGTCGTGTGTCGTTTCGACGTCACTATCCTTCCTTTTACTTCTTCACTCCTTCACAAGGCTAGTCCTTGAATTCTTTTCGTTCAAAAATCATCTGCCCAACTTTGCCTGGTGCATTACCGTCCTTTGAACACTCGATTTTCGAACCATCGACAAACATCCAGTCCGATCCGTTCACTCCTTCGGATATCCAGAAGCATCTGCTGTCCACTCGCGCACTCTGCTAGCTAGAGACCGCATAAGATCTGAGATCTGGACCTTTTTTTGCCGTCAAACACTTTCTTCAAACACTTTCTTTCCCAACGCAAACGACATCACGCCAAGAAGACTTTCGTCCGGAACGTTAAGCCCTCTCCTCATCACGACTCTTACAACAACTCTTATCACAACATCGAAATGCTCACCAAGACTCTTGTTCTCGGCAGCCTGGCCGCTCTGGCTAGCGCTCACATCAAAGTCAGCTCTCCCGAGCCCTATGGCGCCTCTAACCTGGACAACAGCCCCCTCTTACCTGATGGCGCCGACTTCCCTTGCAAGCAGCGTATCGGTGTCTACGACGTGGAGGGCGCCTCGAACGTCTACGCTCTCGGCTCGACGGGTCACCCGCTTGCTTTCGTTGGCTCCGCCGTCCACGGCGGCGGCTCCTGCCAGGTCTCCATCACTTATGACGCGAGGCCTGACAAGAACTCCGTCTGGAAGGTCATCAAGTCCATCGAGGGCGGCTGCCCTGCCCAAGGCCAAGAGGGAAACATGGGCAGCAATGCCAACCAGGAGGTCCCCTACAAGTACAACTTCGACATCCCTAGTGACATCCCTGCCGGAAACGGCACGATCGCCTGGACTTGGTTTAACAAGGTTGGCAACCGGGAGATGTACATGAACTGCGGTCCCGTCACCCTCGAGGGCCAAGGCGGTTCCCAGGAAGCCTACAACGCTCTGCCGGACATGTTCGTCGCCAACTTGGAGGATATCAACGACTGTCGGGTCCCCGCCGGAGTTGACGTCGTTTTCCCCAGTCCCGGAAGCAGGGTGGAGCGTCTGAACGGTCCTACTAACGCCTTCGGCACTCCTGACGGCGAACAATGCAAACCTACCGGCTCTCCTGGCGGCGGCAACGGCAACGGCGGCGGCGCCCCTGCTCCCACTGTTGCCCCTCCCACAACTGAGGCACCTGCCCCCACACCCACCGGTGATGCTGGCTCCGATGACCGCGCTACTCTGCCCGGTGGCATCTTCATTCCCGTTCTCGATACCACAACTCCCTATGAGGGTCCTCAGCCCACGTCTGCTCCCGACACGGGATACGAGCCTGAGCCCATCCCCGAGCCAGTCCCCGGGCCCGCCCCCATCCCTGAACCCGAGGCTCCTGTCCCCGTCCCGGCCCCCTCCGAGCCCGCTGGTGATGGCGTCTACGCTCCCGGTACGCCTTGCTCTGAAGAGGGTCAGTGGAATTGCATCGGCGGCGATTCCTTCCAGCGCTGCGCTAGCGGCAACTGGTCCACCGTCATCCAGCTCGCGGCTGGCACCAACTGCGAGCCTGGTCAGGGCGCTGATATCAACATGATCGTCACCCGCAACGGCCGTAAGCGGGCCCTTCGGAAGACCTCCGTCGTCGTGTAGGCGAGTGCGCATGCTAAATTGCATGTGTGTCATGTTGGAATATATACATCCACATGGGAATGATTTTTTAGGATATACCACTGGCCTGGGGCGCAATCATGAAACGGATATACCAAGCCGACTGACACGCAAGGGGCGTTCGTCGTCGGCATGATTTCTTCTCTTCTACTGTACATACTTTATAGACCTGTACATTTTCTTTTATTCTTCTTCCGACATGTTCGACATTTTCTGTTCGAACTTAGGGTTCAGGACCAGGCACTCGTTCGATACCACCAAGACAACATGACTTTTCTGATCGTTCACAACACTCTTTGCCTTTTTTGTTTTTTTGACAGCGGTCCTTGTTTTCCGTGGCGACGCAGCTCATTCCTCGCTGTGACTGGTGGGCCTTGCCAGCAACACACTGTGACTCGTACACCAGCCTTCGGTTCTTACAACCACGTGTCGGTCCCCTTTCCCCCCTTCGGCAGCGACTCCCTGCGTCCGAGCAGGATCCTCCCGATCAGAGATTTCCTAGGCCGCGTGTCGCCGTTCCGCAAGGACGAGAGGCGCAGCGGCACGACATACGGGTCCAGCTCGATGCCGACGTGGGCGTGGCCGTCGTCGCCTATGTATCGCCCGAAACTAAACGTGCTGGACGAGGCGGCGCCGCGAGGAGTCGAGGTCGTCGTGGTCATCTTCTCGCCTTCCTCGACCGGGTGGTATTCCCGCAATGCGCGGCTGGGCGCCACGTAGGCCAGGATGGAGCCGACGGTGGTGGGCATGCGGGGCAGGAAGTGCTTGATGCCGAAGCCGTACAGGATGGCGGCGACGAGGACGTCGAGGCCTAGCACGGCGACGCTCATGATGAAGGCGGGGAGGGGGATGAAGATGCGCGTCTCGGTGCGGTGTTCGGTACCCTCGAGTAGGACGGGTTCGCGGCTGCGCTCGAAGACTTGGTGGTTGAGGCCGAGGATGAGGGCGAAGAGCTGGCGGTAGAGGGTCTCTATAGACGGGATCACGGCTTCGGGGTCGGGAAGAGCGGCGTCGGGATCGAGGAGGTCTTTGTGTCCGGGCATGATCTTCAAGAAGTGGTTCATCCAGTCTCGCGATAGGGTATCGTTGTGCCAAGCCAGCTCCGACTTCCTGAGCTGGTAGTTCGTCATGACGATCAATGTGTCGGTATCATTCGTTGCGTCTTGATAGTCGAGCACGTTCGTGGACTCGGAAACCTGCTTCGAGGCAAGTACAACACCCTGTTCATTGACGGTTAGTTCGAAAAGGGCTGTCGTAAAGTCAGGCTCGCATAAGAGTAACGTGGTTTCCATGAAACCATCTGTATCCCGGACCTGAGGACTCTGTGACCAGCCCAGAACCAGCGTCGTATCGCAGACATCATAAGCCGCGCCAGAGGCGAGAGTGTCTACAACCTCAGCGGCGGAAGGACCGAAAGGCATGTTAACAAGAGCCCTGTCCAAGGTCAACTGGGCGGGTTGAAAGTGTGTTGGACATTCAGGAAGAATGCGGCCTCTCCTTGACAGCGTGTAATTGACCAGAGGGCCAACGCCATTGGAATCGAATTTGCCCAGAGGCGAACATTGGGGCGTGACGCCGAAGCCCCTGGTGGTCGATGTGTACGCCTGGGCAATCGTTTCTTCGCTGTTTGGGAGAGTGAACGGGCGGAAATAGTAGTCCTTGCTGATCCAAGGGGGAAAGGGGGTATTCTGAGAAATGTTGTTCATAATACGACGAAGGGCTCGTGATAATCCAATCCCGTAAAGCTCCGAGGAAGGAAGTAGACGTCGTGGAGAGTCGCCTTATCAATCTTGGGAAAAAGAAAGGCCTCGAACGTGCGCGGGTAGCGGACCTGCACCGGATGCTGGTTGAAGATACCGCCGAGACCGACTGCGAGGACGTTGGAGAGCAGGGCCACAGCGGCAAGCATGGCTAGAAGAAAGTGACCGGCTCCCAGGGCCCTCCACAGTACCAGCTGGGGCGGAATGGGCGGTATACCTTGCGTTTATGGACCCTTTAGCTGGTCTATGGCCCGACCAAAGGTCCTTGAATGGTTGCAGAATGCAGAGCAAGCGGTTCAATAGGACCCAGAAGGGCTCCATCAAAGTGGCAAAGATGGTTGGCAAGAAACTGAGGAGGAGTTGCTGGACATCGAAGCTGGCATTCGGCGGTATAAGCCCTGTTGGATCAGTTAGTAGATGGGAAGGCCGGGCTTGTGCTGTCCCACTCAATTATAACGAGAAGTCGAAAAAGGGGCAAGTCGAAAAAAGGGGCAAGTGAAAAAAGGGGCAAGTGAAAAAAACGCACCACCTCGGGTTTGTTCCTCCTGCTTGAGATACACAAGGCAAACCATTGCCGCGACCATAATCAATATGACCAAGGCAGCAAGAGGACGGCGAAGAGCCCAAGGTCGGACAGGGGTGTAATGACCTCTAGCCGCCGCCGAGTCCTGCCGATCGAGGTTCACCCGACCACCACTCTGTGCGTTCCCACGGTCGCCCAGGACTTCAATAACCCTGCGACTGGCATCGGCACACAAGCTTGAACCTCAAATCCTGCAGTGCGTCGGCCAAGTCTTCCTCGGACGCGCAGCCCTTACCGGCGAGATTGTCCAAGAGAGCTGAGCTGTCGCGGCAGATATCCATCAGAGACGCAAGGGAATTCGGGTCCTCGGTCAGGGCGCTCGGCGCCTTCCGACAAATCCACGCCAGCGCGAGCACGAAAAGGGACACCAAGACGAGTAACGCCTCGACGATGGCGGAGAACAGACGGCTGACGACGATGCCGTGTAGCTCCATGTTCTCGGTCCCCTGCGCCGTGAAGTTGTCGGTCGCGCTGACCATGACCCGACGTAGTGCGAGGGAGAAGATCTGCCTGTGTGCGATGGTGAACGCCTCGATGAGTCGTGACCGGTTCTGGAACACGTGGAGCGAAGGCAGGTCTTCCTTCTGCGATCCGACGGCGAACCCGACCATGGGCGACATGGGCCACGCCAACCCCAGGTCGATCATGTGGGGATACTGCTCGAGCAGCCGTCCGAAGGGATAATCTCGCTGGACGTGCAACTCGACAGCCGACACGCCCGCGCCGAGGAGGTACTCGAAGGCGGTGACGTTAAACTCCGCCTCGGTCAACGGCTGCACGGGCCCCAGGGGGACGACCGAGCCCTCCACGGGTTCCCGGTTCTCCGCCGACACGGTGACGCGGACGGTCTGGCGGTAATAGCTCGTCTTGCAGAAGGCAGCCTCCAGTCGGATGTCGTTCGGGTGGTCCTCCATCAGGGAGGCGTTGTGGTGGGTCCAGATGGCCAGGAACTGGTTGCGGACGTCGGGGCAGGTCGGGCTCTCGAGAGAGTAGGAGGCGAAGGCGCTGTCCTGCCAGCCGAGGTAGAACATCTTGAAGGGACTCTGGCCGCCGAAGTGGCCGTAGGCGGCGATGTCGCTGGCGTTGCAGCCCCGGCCGTCGAGGAAGTCGAAGGTCCTCCGCGTCGAGGGGCCGTGTCTTGAGATTTGGGCGGGCCAGCAGTCCAAGTCGGTCCAGTATTTGACGGATGTTCCTGTCAGATTCCTGTTTGTGGTAGTAGTAGGCGTCTGTGGATCGCTGGCCTGCACTTCGAATGGCATGATGGTGTAATCTGGAGTGGTAAAAGGGGGGTACCGTTGGTCGAGCCAGGTGATGGCGTAGGCTTCGTTCAGGATGGATTGGTCGAGGATCATGGGGTGCTCGGAGGTGGGCATGAAGGTGAGGCCGTTCAGGATGCGGACATCGCGGGTCCTGGTGACGGAATCGGTAGCGATGATGGCGGCTTGTAAGGGGACGATGGCCCACATGATGATTGTCATGGTGGTGCCGGAGAAGAACACGGGCCAATGGCTTTTTCCGTTGGGTCAGTTGAGGAGGAGGAGGAGGAGGAGGGGGAGGAGGAGACACTGCATACCGATTCTTCAAGGCCCGAAAGGGCACAAAGCCGACAAAGTCGTAGGGGTACGTCAACAGGATGGAGTGGTTAGCGGTGGCCCCCTCCTCCCGCGACATTTCGAACCAAGGCTGCGTCCGTTTCGCGTCCAGGTCGACCCAGCTCCAGAACAAGCTGTAGAAGACGGCGACGACGGTGGGGAGGAAGAGGTAGCCGAAGGTGGCGAAGGCGGAGAGGTCGTCTGGCTCGGTGGACAGGGAGAGGCCCCCGGCCATCAGGCTCTGGCGGGTGAGGACCTCGAGGATGGCGACGAGGAGCAGGGACAAGAGGGCAAAGCAGATGAGGACGGGGAGGCTGAGGGTAGCGGGTTTCCAGCCATCGTGGGTATGACGGGTGGGTTGAGCGGCGTCGAGGCTGGGCTGGCTGGTTGGTTTCACCGATGTACATGAGGTCGAAGGACGACTCTTCTCCGGGACGGGAACCCGGAGAGTGTCCCCCGACAAGAGTTGCGGCCGAACGGTATGATCAAGCTGAACGTCATTGTCACCATGGCCTCCTGTGTCGACTGGTTGAGTGTGCGGTTCGTTCGAGGAGGGAGGGGAGGCCGTTTTATCCGCCGACATTGAGAGGCAGCTAACCAGTAGCCGCTTTGCCAGGGGCTGTGCGAGAAGAAGGGGGGCGAAGCGAGACAGGGAGAACGGGAGCACAAGTCTAAAGCTCAGAGGCAACAAATTCAAAGGATTGTCCGGTAATACGCCATCGAGTCGGTCAAGGAGCGGAACTGTACAGCGTAGCACATCGTAGCACCTGATCTGGAGGACGGGGAGCAGAGACCGTTATATGAGCTCAGGAAAGCCCGAGACAGAGGCGGTCGGGGCAGGGGGGGCGGGGGCCATATCCAAGGCCAAGGTGTGGTTCCATGGGGGAGGGACCGGAGGGTGGGTGGTGATGCATGACGAGAGACCCGGCAGTGTGGTCGAGCGCTAAGAGCAGTGGATGGGAGCTTTTCTACGTGAGTACGGTGATCGCTGGATGGTCGGTCCACACGGAGTTGAGTGGGATGGAGAGACGCGGGCCCCGGCACGGTAACCGGCGACAGGGGACCAGACGGAATCGGTTGAATGAGGCGTCGTGGTTAAGCGCCGGCGCTTGGAGAAGGCAAGTTGCAACTGCAACCCCTTGTTGCAGCTCCGTTGGTGATGAGGACAGACCATGGCGCTTGATTTTCTTCGCTTGGAGAAGGGCATTGGTTTGTTTGTTCTTCGGGACGGTTTAAGCGGGACGGACCGCGTTGAAGATGTTTGCAAGTTGATGGTATGCGGGTTGTAGGTTGTAAGGAGTAAACGGACAATGAGGAAGCGCTGATGGCAGAGCAGAGCAGGGACTGGATAAGCGAGTCACGTGACCTTGGCGACTTGGCGATCAAAGGAACATAGGTAAGGTAGCGATGGTACCTTGTTAATTAGGTACCTTATTCGAGATTCTTTCCAGTACGGTCCATGTATCCCGACTCCTGCCACGAACGATGGCAAGTAGCTAGCTGAGGTACCTTGGGTAGGGAACTTGGAATTTACATCTCGAGTTTGTTGTCTTTTGCTTCTTTTGTTTGTCGGCTGGTTTGCTAGAGCTCCCTCTTCACATATGATGGACACAAGTATCGCTCCCTCTCTACTGGAGGGATCGTTGCTACTAGACAAGCACACAATTAATCATCTGTCCTATGAGGTTTGTTATACTGTATACGTAATGGAAGTACCTTCCGTTCCAATTACTCTACTCTAGTCCTCTATACCTTAAATACGCCCGATACCCCTTGCCAACCATCTTTCTTCTCCTCTTCGTGTAGCGGAGGGCACAGCCATGGACAGGTACCTAGGTGAAAATGGATATACAACAGTCCAGGTACTACTAACGACAGCAACGATGTGGGGGACACGACCTTTATGAGAACAAGAACAAGAACAATAATCAGGTATCTTATACATATGATGTCGACCTTTACATGTACCTGGACAGCAGAGGACTTTAGCTTCTCTGATAATGCCAAGTGCGAGTACTGCCAAAGCATGCGCAGTAAGCCATGCCCTAAGGTATGACCATGCCAACCCCCCTGTGTAAGCCGTCCCGGGTCACTAACTGTCACAACACAAGTAATAACAGCCTTATTATCCGTTAGGCGGAGGAATATAAACTCACAACATCAGTCCATGTCTGCTTTCTTACCACCATCGCACGAGAACTCGGGCGAGCAATCATATGCAAAGGGGGCACCTGGTCACTTCACAGGTTATGAGCCAGTGACCACGTGAAAAGACACCATGGACGAATCCATAACGTCCTTAGGCCACTGTCTTCGCCGGAGGGCAGACTGTGAAGGACCTCTTTATTAGTGGCATTTGCTTAGTTATCCACATATATTAGGTAATTATAAGGTACCTCATCACCACGTGCATCAGAATCACCACCACCATCATCATCATTCATAGATGCTCAACTATAAGACAACTCTATAATGTAAAGACTAACCACAACATGAAATCATCAAAAGTGATCAAAGTGTTAGCAATGCTCCGTGCCGCACAACAAAAACACCATCTTTCAACTCCCAGAATCAACACCCCTGGCCCATCCCAGCCAAGTTACCCATCCCTTCAACAGCCAGCCCCCCCTCCACCCCAGCCGACTTGAACTCTTTAACCAGCTCCTCAATCCTCCCCACATCCCGAATGCGCCAAAACGCATGAAGCGCATCCACAAAGCGCCGAGTAGCAGCATCCACATTCTCCTCCGACTCGGCCGCGAAGCACAACCGGTAATAAGCCCACGCATCCCTCGCCAGCACGCCCCCATCGGCCGCGAACATGACCCCCGGCGCAGGGAGCACCAGGTACGGCCGGTGCGTGCACAGCGCCACCAGCGCCGTGCTGAGCGCATGTCCGTCCACGCGCGGCAGGCTGCCCCCGGGGACCCCGCGGGCCATCCAGAGCGGGTGGCAGGGGAACCGGACGCGGAGCCAGAGGAACATGCCGCCGCGGGGCCACGCGAAGTCGTAGAGCCGCGTCTTGGTCACGACGCGCCAGTCGTCCGTGTCGTCGGCAGCCGTAGCCGTGGCCGTGGCAGGGGGGTTGTCGCCCCCCCCGCCTCCCCCCGCTCCTCCGCTCGGTTTGTTGCGCACCGGCTGCTTGAGCTGTAGTAAGGTGGCGCCGTCGTCGAGGATGCGGGCCATGCGGCACATGCGGCGCTCGTAGGTCCCGCGGAGGCCTTCGAGCCAGCGGACCCAGCCGGAGGTGTCCCAGCCTTCGAAGGCGAGCTGGTCCTTCTTGGAGGGGAGGGAGGCGAAGGAGGCGGTGGTGGACGGGGTTTGGGGGCCCAGGAGGAGCTCGGAGACCATGGCTTGGACGAAGCCGGAGGGTTGTTGGGTGGATGTTTCGGCGATTCTAGGGGAAGGATGTGAGTGAAAGAAGACGAAAAAAGAAGAAGAAAAGAAGAAAAGAAGAAAAGAACAAGAAAAAACCGGGGGGATGCGAGGGACGGGGGAGGGAAAGGGAGACATACCTCGTGATCCGCTCGACAAACTCTGGCTGCGCTGTAATCCAACCAAGCCGGCAACCGGGCGCAATGGTCTTGGAAAACGTATCAAGACGTATCACCCGCCCATCAACGTCCATGCTAAGATACGACGGGACAAGAGAGTCCAGGAAAGGATAGCCAGACGACTTGGTCCGCCCGCAAGAAGAAGAAGAAGAAGAAGAAGAAGACGAAGAAGAGTCCTTCTCAGACCGTCGCTTCGCCGCCTCCACAGGATAACCGCGGGACACAGCCTCCTCCGTCTCCGCCGAGGGAAACTGCAAAAACCAATACGGGTCATCCTCGACAATGATCACGTCGTACTTCTGGCACAGCGCATAGATCGCCCGCCGCCGCTCCACAGACAGCACGCCGCTCGTGGGGTTATGACCCATGGTGACCGTGTACAGCATGTGCGGCCGGCGACCCCTCCGCTCGTCCCACGACGCGAGCACGGCCTCCAGCCCGCCCGGCCCGGCGGCGAGCATGCCCTCCTCGTCAATCTCGACGGGCGCGATGCCGATCCCGCGCGGCAGGCTCTGGGCCAGGACGTTGGAGTACATGAACCGCTCGACGAGCAGGTGCGGGCGGGCGGCGATGGCGTCCGCAGCCGGGTCCCACGCGTCGGTGAGCAGCTCGAGCGTCTTGGCCATGCCGTCGGTCGAGCCGCACGTGAGGACCACCTCGGGCCCGCCGGCGTAGGGAGCCTCCGGGTGGAGGTGGTTCCGGGTGAAGTGGCGGATGAAGGACAGAAGGGGCGGGTAGCCTTCGGCGGTGCCGTATTGGAGGGCCGTGGCTAGGTCGATGCGCTTGGAGAGGTCGCCGTCGGGGCGGACTTTCGGGACGGATATGTGGTTCGCTGACTTGGGATCATCGTGGTCGACGTCCTTGTTGCTGTTGTTGTTGTTGTTGTCGTCGTCGCGGACTGCGGATGAGGTCTTCTTTTTGGATCCGAATAAGTTCAGACTCCAGCTCTTCTCCGGCTCGGAAGGGAGGGTATTCGATTTATCGGTGCGACCACCCTCCACGTAGCGACTACCGCCGTTCGGAGCGGAGGAAATGGCGGCCGCAGCCAGTTGATCGGTCACGGCATCGGGACTCGGGGGTTCGTTCGGAGTGGGTGTCCATCGTTCGGGCTTAGCAGCCTGTGCCTCGAGAGTATCGTACGGGAAGAACGATGGATTGGGAAGGCCTGTAAGGGAGGGTGGCGGACCGTTAGCCGTTTGATTTGTGGCGTACGCCGAAGGGGGCTGGGGGATCAATCACGCAATTAAGCTGAAGCCCAATGGCGATCGCAGGTGGGCTAGTGAGACATTGAGACGTCGATTTTGTTTTTTTTACTAGTACTGTCTTACGCACCTCCGGCAAGGTTTCCGATCCCGGGAATCTGGAAGAACTTGTAATATTTCTTGAGAGCGCTCGGTTGACGCAGCTTCGTGATGGTGGAGTAGTGATGGCTCAGGTCCAGCGGACGCGGCTTTGCCGTGTCCATTTGACTTGATTCCATTGTGTCTCGTAGAAAACGGGAAGAATAAAGAGAATTTCGAGAAGAAGCCAAAGATGTCTCTGTCAAGGTCCAGACAGCGTACGAAACCTGGTGATTCAACGTCAATTAGAAGCCGCTTATCTGTCCGCCCGAGATATTGCGGAGTTGCTGAGAGTCGTATCACAGATACCTTAGAGAGCTCACCGTCTATTAAAGAAAACCGATGACAAATCGAGAATCTCCAATCTCACCGGTCTGGCCCAAAGGGAATTAGCATCACGGAGGTACCCGGCTGACCTTGGCATGAAGACCTGACCCGGGATCCCGGAACCGAATTTGGCTATTGGTATTGGTGTTGGTGCGATAATAAAACTGGGGCTCCCTGGGAGCATTATCCGTACGAAGTACACGTGTAAGACATGTTACGGTTACCTAGGAGAGGTGAGGATAAGGTCGGATGTCCCCAAACTATCGAATATCAAGAAGGCCAGGGAGAGAGAGAGAGACGCGCAAAGGACGAGACGGCAAAATGTACGACCAACTTGACTGGCTTAAGGAAATCAGACATGCTGGGAAAACAATCTGTTTTCAGTGGAAGAGCCCCATCCACATCTTTCAGCGAGTCATCAAATCACATCAGTCACATAGTCACATCCTCGCAAAAGACGGTTAGGTCACCAGTTCGCTAAAACAAAAAAAGCCAGAAATCCGGGAATCTTCTTTTTCCATTGATCAAGAGGTCAACCTTCCTAGTTGCCATTTACGCCTCGAGGAGAAATCATGCCATGCCATGCCAAGCCGTTTCGCAAAACCTTCCTCTCTTTCTCTCCCCCCCTTCTCTCCCCCCCCCAGCCCCGTTCTTTTTGCCAAGTCATCAACAGAAAATGAATGTTCACAGAAGAAGGAAAACAAGCCCAATAGCTTATTGCTTCTGGTGCTCATTGGAGAACACGGCGGCGTACGGGTTGAGACGGAGCATGACCTGCTTGTTGCGGAGCGGGTTCTTCTTCTGGACCGCGGGGCGGCGCGTGGTGGGGCCGCCCTTGGGGGCGCGCACCGAGGACTGCACTTCCTGCGAGTTGATGAGACGGCTGAGGTCGGCCTGCGAGATGATGTTGGACGGCAGAAGGAAGTTCTTCTTGAGCTCGGACGCCTCCGTGGTCGACCCGTAGATGGTGTCGAGCGCCTTGAACGCGGCGGACGTCCAGACGATGAACCGGCCGAGGTGACCGCCGGGCGCCAGCTGGAGGAGGTTGAGCTCGGTCACGGGGGACGTCTCGACGCCGGCGAGGTTCTGGAAGCCCTTGACCACGTCCCGGCCGTCGGTCTCCGGGTCGTAGATCACCAGGGGGCCGCGGCGCTGGCGGAAGCGCCGGCCGCGCATCTTGCCCTTGCCGGCGCGGAGCTTCTTGGAGTTCTTGGCCTTCTCGACGTCGGTACCGGCACCCACCGCCTTGAGGAGCCCGAACGCGGCGGACGTCTTGACCACGGCGTCGTTCTCGAACGCGGCCGAGTCGATGACGAGGGGGACCTCGAGCACGTTGTTGATGCGGTGGCCGCGGGCGAGCAGCAGAGGAGGGACGGCCGAGGCAGCCAGAGCCGAAGCGACGGCGTAGCGCCTACGCTGGGTCAGCACGAGTTTACTCGTCTCCCGTGGTGGTCCCTACACACACGAGACAAAGTGCAGCCGCCATCAAAAAAAGGACTCACTTCTGGTTCAAGTTGACCTTGATGTGCCACTTGCGCCAGGTCTTGGTGGGGGCGAACATGCGACCGGAGCGGCACATGTTACCGAAGGCAGCCTGACCGGCACGGTGAGTACCACCACCCGAGACACGGGGAATACGGGCAACAGCACGACCTGAGAGGATACTGTCAGCCATCCATTCCATCTTGTCGTCGGCCCAAAAAAAAAAACCCCCATCACGTATGTTCGTTGTCGAAAGCATTTCCCCTCCCTCTCGTCCACACGACTCCCCCTCTCCCACAAACCAAATCCACCATTGGATTATCAAATCACCCTTCCACTCCCCGTCGTAGGGGAAAAGAAAAAAAGAAAGGCGAAAACAAGAAAGAACACGGCAAGGTGACGACTAACCAGTGCCCCAGGACTCGGCCGAGGTCTGTTCACCGGCCTTCGAGCTCACGGCATAAGGTTGACGCTTGTTCTTGGCCAGACCCTTGTGCACCTCCTGGACGATATCGGTACGGATAGGCGCCTGGAAGACCAGAGGCCAGGTGTGAGTGTTGCCCGTGGCCTTGCCATCGGCGCCGATGATGGTGACGGTAGGTCGCGAAGCCATCTTTGATTCGGTGATTGACCCTATAATAAACCACCCCGAACAAAAACCAAGTCAGTGAATTGATTCGAGGAACCCCGGAAGTCGAAAGTGATGTCGTTGGAAAAGAACGAGAAAACGATTGTGATGCATACCTCGGTCGTGGGTGGGCTTCGATGCTGTTGGGTTAGTAAAACGGAGTTGGGGAGGGTTTTCCGCCTGGAGGGCTCGCGAGAAATTTGGCCCAGGTGTAATTTTTTCGATTTGTTTGGTGGGCAGCTTCGACCCTAGGAACTTTCGGTACGTACCGCAATTCTTCGTAATTCTTAGCGAAGTCGTGGGGATGGTCACGTGCGATGTCCACTTTTTATCACCCATCACCGATAAGCATAATGTACTCCTTATCTCCCAACAACAACCACCTCCACCACCTCACTCAATTCTCGATCACGTCATTGGTCAATTCCACCTGCTCGACGAGGAGGGTTCGCAATATCCCTTCACAATATCCCTTCACCCAACTTCTCACGTTTCTTCATGAAATTTTTCTTCTTCTTTTCCTTTTCACATTTCCGCTATCCCTAATGCATCGTCGAACATAACATCATAAATGTAGCTTCATTCATCACATCACTCCCAGCTCTTCCACTCGTCAATAAGCTTATCCACCTCTCTCTTCGTCCAAGCATCGTTCTGCCCGTGCTGGTCCAGCCGCGCCATCTCGTTGCGAATATCCGCCCAGGCTCTCTGCCTCTCCAGGACCTTCGCCTCGAGATAATCCACGTCGTTCCGCCGGCACGCCTTCCTGAAAACGTCCCTCATGCGGCTGGAGTACAGCTGGCACGTACCCACGGGCAGCCGCTGCGGTTGCATGTAGAAATTCCGCGCGATGGGGTTGTTGTCTTCCAGCCTCGGCCGGACCACCTCGTCAAAACACTCGCCGCACACCGTGAACTCGGGGATATGCTGCATGATGTGCCATCCCTTGTCCGTAACGGGTCGGTCCTCCGTGCACTCCGTAAACAGCGAAAGCCGCTCCATCGTCCTGGCGAGAGCGGAGATGTTAGGGGGCGAGTTCGTCGCCAGGGCCTTGTCCGAAGTCGTCTCCATGGCGTCGAAATACAAAACGAACCGTCTTCGCTTCGGGTGGAAGTACATCGCACAGGTGCCCCAGGTGGGCACTGCGGGCGTTTGTTGCGGAACGAAGATGCCAGTCAGGTTGGGGAGCAGGACCTCAATCGTCTTGGCGCATTCGTAGCAGACCGTGAAATCGGGAACTGTGGTCTGACTGTAGGGATCCACGACGGAATACCAAATTCGCACCGCTTCCCGGTTCCCCGGGCATGGCTGGTTGTGGGCTACATTGGTTATCAGATGAAACAGCCTGAGGTCGGGGTAGCCCTCCTTCAGGGTGAGGAGCCATGCAATGCGGTACCATGGAGACGAGCCAAAGTCGCACCTAATGGGCCTGTCCATTGGTCGGAATAGCGTCGGCACGAACTCGTTCCGATAAGGTGTCTCGGCAAAGACAGCCATGTAGCAGTCGGGACAGATGTCGAAGTGGTCACAGCGGGGGAGACTGAGCCAATCTGCCTTGCCAGTCACCCCTTTTCTTCTGGGGCAGTCAGGAATGGGAGCAGTACCTCCCCTGCTGGCGTCCTCCGAGTATCGCCGATAGCTGCCAGTGGACTGGTCCGTAGTAGTAAGGGTCGTCTTGTCTGGTTCGAAAGGGGGTGGGGGCCAGGAGCTCTCTTGGCGAGTGTCAGGTTCCATAGGCGTAATTCGTGTGTCAGTGGAAGAAGGCGCCGGTGGTTGGCTCGCCTCGTCGGTCGGCTCGGGAGGTAGCACGGGCATGACGGCCGGGATGGCCACAGGCATGGACGTGGACGAACCAAGAGTAGGAGGGCCTCGCGATCGGAATGAAGGTGCGCGGGGATCACCCTCTCGAGAGCCCGAGCCATCCTTGCCCGGGCGTAGATCATCCTCAGGGTACGGCAGGGAGGGCCCCCTACTACCATGAGTCATCGGGAAAGTGGCGGCGCTGCGGGGTGTAGGGGAGTGACCGTCTGCAAAGGCCCTCCCTGAACTCTTGGAAGATGGAATGGGGGATACCGGAACCCACGATCTGGGTCTGGTGCTGGATACGGGGTAACCCCCATCCTGGTTGTGCAACACTGGTCGCTCCTCAAAGGCAGCAGCCGATCTCCTGCGGCGTGTGTTCGATGAGGGTGCCTTGAGCAAATGTTCGGCGCTGGAACTACTTGGCGGAGGAGACTCACGTCTATACATCGACGCGCGCCGTTCTCGTCTCCTGTCATACGAGTCGGGGCCATACTCACTGCGTCTTCCGACGTCGCCAGACTGATCCCCCGGGAGCCGCGACGTCGGGAGGGGGGCCTCGGCGCTGACGGCGGATCTTCTCGCCGTGCCGGGCGTCAGGGAACTGGCTGACCGACCAGCAGGATCATCCACTCGTCTACCCTCCCCCAAGGTGGAACGGCTCCTCTGGGCCGAGGCTGGTGAGTTTTGGCTTCGCGAATAGTCATAGTAGACCTTGTCACGACCGCCGGTGGCATGTTTGATAACCTGTGGCGACAGATGATCCTCGTTGTTGGTTGACAAGTGCTGTTTGGCGCGGTACGAGAAGTCGGGGGGCGGTTGGTCTACGTAGGTGGTAGACATGCTTCGGCGATGACCTCCAGCCCCCCCGGACGTGGCCGAAGCGAAACTGGTCTCGAGAGGTGGAAGATCCTGCCGGCTCCTGCGCCTCTCTGACCTCGCCTCGGGGGTACTGTCGTCAACATCTGGTGCCACAGGATCATATTTGCGAGCCGTGTTGGCCTTGTAATCTTCATTTTCCACAATCTTAGGGGCAGACGACGAATGTGTATCGGAGACCGTTCTCTCCTTCGTACGGATGGGGGATTCGAGGGGCCCGCTAGAATCCGAAACGTGTACGAAGCGACGCTCGGGGTTATGCTCATGGACCACTTCGATGAGGGGGAACTGGTCGACGTCTCCACGTGAGGGTGGTTCATCGAGGCTACTCGAGGTAACGCTGCCATGTTCTTTTGCGAGGGCTTCGGCTTCGTCTTCGCAAGTAGGCGGGGGAGGTCGGGGCAAATATCTCGGGACAGCACGATCTGGGCTTGGACTGCGGCGTCGGGGAAGGGAAGGAAGTGGACGGCTTGCACTAGGGATTCATGTCAGAAAACACTTGAAAATGTACGACGTTGGAGAGGCAGGAAGAAGCTTACGGCCTGGGACTCTTGCTTCTGGAGGTCGTGAAATAACCATCCTTGAGAAGGCTCTGGATGCTGTGTGGCTCTGCGTCGGCCATGATGAAGGCTGATAAAAGAATAGTAGATAACTCAGAAAAGGACGTTTCAGGAAAGTATCGGCGAAAGCGTCATGTTCGCGACGAGAAAGCCGCCAAAGGTTGCCAAGGCAAGGTATCAACCTTGGTCTTCACTCCTCTGTTAGCAGGAGTGAAAGTGAAGGTATCGTCGTCAGCAATTACCGTGGTAGTAATGGCAGTCGAGATCGCAGTGAGGGATAGAAATGATAGCGAGACGACGACGAACGAGTCCAGGAGCTGACGCGTGGCCTGACTTGTCTGGCGATGAGATCGTCAGCACGGATAGCTGGACACAGGCATTCCGCACACAAGGCAAAGACTAGGTGTCGTCAGAAGGTGATAGAGAAGATTGATCGAAGAAATGCAGCAAGATAGACGTCTGAGGATGGAAAAGGGAAACGGATTGGTTTGGCTTTGTTTCGTTGTCCAAACGAGCAACAGGGTGAGGTGAGACGCAGTGTCTTGAGGGCAACATGAAGGATGACATAGCGGTGGAGCCGCATAGTGGGGCGCAGTGCGCACCGTTGGCACGGTTACAGTGCATATGTCCGTGTACAATAGTATCGACACCGTGGCAGTAACAACATTATGTAAGCCATTACGGTCTCGGTCATCCTAATTGGACTTGACCACTATTATTTCCAGCATCGCCGGGCGACGACCGGCGGGCGGCAATCGAGGAACCACAAGAACATGCATGCCACTAGCCCGAAACAATGGCTTTCATTGTCAAATAACATCACACGTCCTTGGCTCCGACCGTATCCCGTTATCTCCACACAAACCCAACCCTCCTCTTTCTCATCCAGAATATCGGGCTTTGACTGGCCCCGCGGATATGCTTAGTGCTTCCTGCGTAGCACAGGTAGCCCCCCCTTTGCATATGGCCTGCACGGCGCATGGCCAAGCGGTTTGTTGCTACACAAGGCCACGTAAGCGACGAAGATCATCGGAGACTGGGTTGCCTCCTTCCACGTTGTTTCGCGGGTACCATATTGCTTACTCCTATTCAGCATCAATTCTGATCTGAGATGAATACCCACGCTGCTCTAAGTGCTCTGACAGCTGCACTTCCAAGGTCGGAGAAGCTGGAGATAACGGATCATTATGCCCTGTACATGTAAATCCTCGAGTTTCTATAAGTGACAGATTACTTGCACGTCAAGCCTCTACCTGGTAAACAAATATCCTGGATAAGACTCGCCCTTATTATGGCAAGTCCCTCCCTGTAGTTTAGTTGCAGCTTCTGATCCGGAGGGTAGAACATAACATTGCGACTAGGAAATCTTTTCGAGAGACACCAATTGGCTATGGATGAAGGAATGGGGAGCTCCTGGGCCTTAGCAAGGGAAGATGGTTCTCCAAGGAAGGTAATATTACGGCAGCCCGATGAATGGACAGAGCAAAAATAAAGTCCCCAATGGAAACCACCTGCGCATTGGCATCCTCGACGGTCAACTCCTGGAGTAGCACTCTAAGTACGTTCCAGATATAGGGACTAAAGTGCAGCTTATTTCAACATAATAGGCCAGTTGGTCAAGTTCAAGTGGACCAAGTCGGCTTTGTCTATTAGCATACAATACTGTGAACATCCCGAGTTCAAATTCTGCATTAAGGTGTACGTTTCCCGTAGCCTCGAAAGGGAGGCCGAGTTTTTTTTTTTTTTTTTTTTGATACTTCCCCCCTTATGACTTTAGTTTATTCATCAAATTCGCTATGGATATCCCTATCCGGAACAGTTGTGGTCTTACACGTCTCAAAGGGACACGGCATGGCTGAATTTCGACATTGACCAGATAGAGGCGTCATACGGTCATAGTAGTCGAACGAACTTGCACACACCAACCCTCCGACCAACACCAGACTTGCAGCCTCCAGCAACACAATAAAGCGCGTTGCGAATTACTCCTTTTCCAAAAACTCCTCAATATCCTTATCCTCCTCGTCCTCCTGCAACTCAGCTAACCTCCGCTCCTCGGCATCCAGTAGCTCCTTCAGCACGTGGCGCTGCCGCCGCCTAGCCTTCTTCCCCCAGTCAGTGGCTATCGCGGGGCCTTCGGCTCCCTCTTCTTCTTCTTCTCCGTCATCAGAATCCTCGGGAATGCCGGCCTGACCGCGGATGTCGTTGGGTGTCAGCTTCGCTCGAGGGGCGGCGGTATCTTCTGGTTCTTCTTGCGCCTCGTGGCCGCGCATCTGGAATTTTCCACCGAGTTTCATGAGGTAAGGGCGCAAGAGGGCGTAGGCGCCGACGATGACGACAAGGCGAATGATTTTTTGCGGGGTGAGGTCCTCGAAAGAGGCGCGGAGGTTGGTTACGCTGCGATTGACGTACTCCATGGTTCGTTTCTCTGAACTGAGCGGTTAAGACGGAGGTGGTTGGCCGAAAAGAAAACCCGGGATACGATATCCGAGTTGAACTTCGAAGTGGGAGAGTGTCGAGGTTGAATTTAGGACCCGACGTAAGTTGCGCCAGCAAATAATGAATCTTGCGTGGCGCAAATGCTTAGTCGACCTTAGCCGACAGCAGGTAAATCAGGGTTGTGTGAGTAGGCCAACAGAGAACAAGAGTCATAAGAACCTTGGATTCGGAGAGAGAGGACTCTGCGACAACTTGTGTGCGTGTGAAAGATTAGGGCAGGCGCTGCGTGAGTTTCCAATAGATGGCTCTCAAGGGAGGGATTAAAAAGTTGATACGAAAAAGATGGAACTGGTGGACAGGAGTCTGGAAGCGTCGGCACGTGGACATGCATTTGCACCGGTCACTCCGGGTTGGAGGTCCCCCACGAGCACGCTAAGCTCAGCTTGGCGATGGGGCCTAAGTGGAGCTAACCGCAAGCAACCGACTTGGCAGGGTCTAAGGTAGGTAAGGTAAGGTAGGTAGCCAAGCAATGCAGTGACAGTGACGTCAGGCCATTACCCATCTTCGAGAGAAGGTCTTTGTTACGATAAGATAAGCACTATAATCTATAGCACTGGGCATGAATGTATCTGCTGAGGTTGATCGGATTCGGGTATAATATCAGCAGATACAAGCTAAAACAATCACAAATTAATTTGCGAAATAGAAGCTTGAATGTTTTACTATCTACCGGGTCGCTCGAAATATTGTTGCACTGTTACCGTAGCTAGAGCAACTTCAATTCTTGACGACTCGGTATCACCAATGGCCGCGAGTCACGTGACTATCATGAATTGTTGTTTGGCGCGACCGAGAACGCATCGGAATTACAAGCTACGTTAAGGCACATAATGAAGATGAAGTAGGAACCCCAGACTCATGGATATGCCATCAACACTGGACAGACATCTGACGAAACGTCTTCAGCCACTCAAAGTTGACAGTGTGATGTGAAATCCGCGATTTCACACCATCACTTTCACCCGGGTATCCCCGTGACGCGACGCGCCAGACGTGGAGAGTGATCGATCTACGACCCGTCGTCTTGGGAGGCTTTAGGTTTTTCTCTTCTTCTTTCTTCTCGGCTCTTTACACACTCTGAAAGAGCCGAGGCATAGTCCATAATGGCCGACGCGTCGAGTGACGAAAAGCGAGAGGTCCGTCTCTCCCCTCGCCCCTCGCCCCTCGCCATAAACAACTTAGCCAACCGAGCACCGCCCGTGCCGTCCCATCGGAAAACAGAAAACGGCCCAGCCATGATTCACTGACAAACCTTCCAGCGCCTCAAAGCCGCCCTCTGGTTCGCCGTCGGGCAAATCGTCGACGAGGAATCCATGAAGAAAAACCGCAACGCCACGCCTCAGTTCATCGGCGCTTTGACCGAGATGGTGTGGGAGCAGATTGGTGAGTGCTGGCCATTCTTCCCAGTTTTCCTCCTCGTCCCTCGTCGGCGACTGTACACACACAGCACACAACATGGCCCTTACCGGTCCCGCAAAAACGGATGCATTTTTTAACGAGCAACTTTCGCGTGAATAGAATCCACAGCGACAGACTTGGAGAGCTTCAGTCGTCATGCCGGGAGGACTACCATCAGGGCGGACGACGTGGTGCTCCTGGCGAGGAAGAACCCGGATCTGCATGACCTTATCAAAGACTACGTTGATGAGCTCAAGGCCAAAAAGGCGGAGAAGGGAAAAGGGAGGCCGACGCGGTAGAAAGCCACTCCCCTCCCCCCCTGGGCAGTTATGGAAATGGGGGGCCCGTTTCAGGTTATGATATCTTATGATATCCTCCCTTTGATGGCCACTCTCTTAATGCTTAATGAATTCTTGACTAGGCCGTCGTTTTGGTGGTACAATTACTCTCGTGGTAAAATAAGCCACTAACAGCGTGAGAATGACGCTTCCCCCCCTAACAATAGCGATATTCGGCGACTAAAAGTTCACTGGGTATTCGGATGCACTCCCTCTTCCTGTAGACTTTGCCCTGGCTCCAGCTCCAGCTCCCGCTCTAGCTGTTCAATTTGTCGTTGCAGCTCCATTTGCCCTTGCATGTGGATCCGTTCTCGCTCGTCGATTTCTTCCTGCATCTGCTGCATTTCCATCTGTTCCTGCAGATCGATCCGTTCCTGCAAATCGATCTGTACCCGCATTCCAATGTCTTGTTGTTCCATTTCTTCCTGCTCCTCTTCGCGTTGCTGTTGCTCTTGCTCTTGTTCCCCCTGTCGTGGTTGTTCTTGCTGCTGCTGCTGCTGCAACTGGGCCGCATGTGCCGCCTCCATCTCCTTCCACTCATCCTCCGTCGCATGCAACGCCTGCGCAAGCATCGACACGAACGCCCAAACCTCCCCCGCCACAACGAGGTGCAGAAACTCGACGCCGACAAAGTTGGTCACCAACCGCCAGGACAAGCCGTCGAACACGTTGGGCTCGTAAATGTCCGACGCCGGGAGCCCCATCCGTTGCCTGTACATGCGCGCCACCAGCCGCAGCGCCACCGCTTCGTACGGCGCCAGGAGGACGTAGCTTGCAATCACGGTGAAGACGTCGGTCGCCAGACACGCCGGGAGGCGCGTGAGCATCGTGTCGATGTACGTCGGCATCATCGCCATCATCATCATGGCCGGTCCGGTGCCGTCGGGCCCGGCGCTGGGTCGGAGCTCGGCCGACCACAGTCCCGGCGGCGCGTCGGAGGACTCGGTGGCCTCGACGTCAAAGCTGATAAGTGTTGCGCTGATGCCGCCTTCCTCCTCGTCCTCGGTGCTGTAGTCCTCCCCGCCTCGGGAGGAAAAGACGCTAGGCCGTCGCGGGGTTGGGGTGGGGGTGGAAGTGGGGGTGGTCGGTGCTGCGGGGGTCGCTGGTGTGTCAACGCCGACGCCGACGCCGACGCTGGGACTGGCACTGGCACTAGCACTGGCACTGGCACTAGAGTCAGGAGCTTGTTGGGCTTGCTGCTGGCCTTGCTCGCTGATGTCGCGAAGCAATTCCGGCCGCGTTTGTGGAGGTAGGTCGACAGGTTGCCGTGAGGGGGCCTCCTGTGGTTCGGGTTGCGTCTCGGCCGTGACGGTTACAGTAGGGGCGGCGGGCATGGGAGGGAACATTGGGGGGGCCATCGGCGGAAGCATTCGCCGGTTATGCACGGTGTTGGGAAGCTGCGCATACAACGCTTGCCACAACGTAGTTGTCGTTCTTCTCCACACACGGCCCCATAAGACAAAGGCGAGGAAAGGCGTGGCGTTCAGGCACCAGGCCCCGGCATAGCCGAGGAGAGAGGACATGCCGAGATCCTTGGGTGGCGCAGGCGCGGGCACCGGCGATGACGGGGAGCCGATGACGAAGTAGCTCCAGTGAGGGAGCCACTCACTGGCCGGTATGATGTCTAACCTCTGCATGGCGACATACAGTTGCAGATGAACCCGGACGTAGGCAAAGATGCTATTGAGCCATGGTCTTCGGGGTCCACGGCTCCTGAATCGTACCCTAGTAAATGTCTTCCAGGCATGGCCGGCCAGGAACATGGGTAGACCGGCGAGAAGGAGATTGCGCGCAGAAGCCCGACTCCTCTCGTAACGAAACAAGTCGAAGAAGGATATATCTGCGTATCTTTTGTAGATGAGGATCCTGGCACGCAAGCCGTTAACCCCCCAGAGACTGCCCACCTCGAGGATACGGCCCAGCCTGAGTAGGCGTTGGCCCATATTGTCTTCAAAGGCCTCATGGCGATGCACCGAGTCGAAATGGGCGGTTGAAGGACCCATGTCGGGTTCGGCCACGCCTATTACCTGCATGACTTCATTGTGCGCCCTGATCATCTCGCGGTTGCGCCTCTTAGTTTCTGGGTTGACCGGACGCCCTCTGCTGTCGTATTGCTGTACTGGTTCCCGCGGATCCTCTTCGCCCAAGCCTTCGACTACATCGTCGTACGGCGACCGGCCCTGTTACATTGCCGTTAGATTCTGCCATGCGGCGCAGCGTGAGCGAAGAGAGAGAGAGGGGGGAGAGCTTACTAGGGCCTGCGCAGTCAAGGGGCCAAGCCGGGTCATGCTGGGAGGAAGTGGTGTGTTGAGCGACTCGGCGTGTGTCGCATTCTCATCTCAGAGCTCCAGTGTGACGAAGACCAACAACGAGAGACTCAAAAGAGCCAGTGCGATAGGGTCAAGGAAACGGCTTTCCGCTGAAGTTCTGGGTCATGAGTTGGCGAATCCGTTGTCAGACAATCCGTCGCTACCTTAACCCTTACCTAAAGGTAAGAGATCCGTAGAGGTACGTACCTTATCCGGGTAGCATGGGAACAATCCACCTTACATTTGTTAGCAGGTACAAAGATCACGTGATCTGTTGCACTTCCAGAGAGTTGTGTTTACGTCTCTGTCCGTCCGACTCAATAATAACCCGGAAGAAACGAAACTGCGTCCTGGAAGGTATTTTGAAGAATACTTCTCAAGGTTTCTTTGTTTGGTTGACTTCCAGGTTACCTTAGGTAGCGAACTCTTTCGTACTTTCAATTTGTACCTTAGGTACTTCTGACCAAGCCCTTCCCGTCACCAGCTCAGCTTACCTTAGATAAGATACGACCTCCGTTATCGATAAGATCGGGCATCCCGCTGGAGAAAAATTTCCAGGACATCTCGAGATTTGCGGTCGACCCTCGATTGGCAGCAGCAACGCAACACGCAACACGCAACACCCCCCGTATCGCCCTGTATCTCGAGTACATGAACAGGCGCCATGGCCAGCAAGCAGCCACTCAACACAACATTCAAAGTCGACAAGACTATCCAGCCTATATTCACAGGCGGGGCTGTGTCATTAGACAATGGCGCCAAGATCCTGGCTACGACCCTCGGTGAAGACGCCGTCTTGACGGACCCCTCCAATGGACGGCATATCGCAAAGATCGAAGGCGTACGAACTCTTGTTTCTTCTCACTTTCCATTCTTTTAAGAGACAAAACAGACTGACCTCAAGTCTTAGGATGGCGAGCAAATATCGACCTTGACATGTATGTGCCTACCAGCGTTTCCCTTGCTTCCCACCCCGGCTCCCCATAGACTCGTTTTCCATCATACTCACAACTCATTCTCTTAGTGACACCAAATGGGTCGCATCTCATTATTTGCTCTCGGTCTCTTACTATGAAGGTCTTCGCATTAAAGACGAACCAAGATGGCTCCATCGAACCCAAGCTCGCCCGGTCCGTGAAGCCTCATACTACACCGGTCGTCGTTCTCGCCGTCGACCGAACGAGCACCCTTCTTGCGACAGGAGGCGCCGACGGGACAATCAAAGTATGGGATATCGCGGGAGGCTACGTTACGCATACCTTTCGCGGACCGAGCGTCCTGGTCTCCGCGCTGCACTTCTTCGAGGTTGCCGCGGCCCGCGCCAACGAAACGGAGACGGAGAAGCCCAGCAGCAAAAAGGGGAACATGTCACGCCAGCAAGACGTCGAGAACGAAGAGGAGGGAAGCGCCAGCACCACAACCACCACCACCACCACCACCACCACCAGGTTTCGGTTGGCCTCCGGGAGCCAGGACGGCAAGGTACGGGTCTGGGACCTCCACAAGCGCAAGGCCATTGCGCATCTCGATTCCCACGTCTCGGATGTCCAGGGTCTGGATTACTGCCCGGAACAGCAGGCCGTCGTCTCCGGCAGCCGAGATAAGACGATCATCTGGTGGGACGCGCGGTCTTGGAAGATCCGCAAGGTCGTGCCGTGCCTGGAGCTCGTGGAGGCGGTCGGGTTCGCCGACCAGGGACGTCTGACCTACTTGGCGGGATCCAAGGGCGTCCTCCGCGTCTGGGATACCGACACCGGCCGGGAGTTGACCAAGGACCGACCTGCCAAGTCGGAACTGGAAGGGATCACGAGGGCGATCTACCATGCAGAGCTTCCGTTCATTCTTTGCGTACAGGCCGATTTCACTTTGGCCATGTACCACCCGCCCACCAAGGCCTCTCTTTCTGCTTCCGCCGAGGCCACGGTACAGGAACCTTTCCGACGTATCTCCGGGACACACGACGAGATCATCGACCTCGCCTATCTCCTACCGGACCGTTCGCTCATGGCTCTCGGTACCAACGCGGAAGAAGTCCGGCTCGTGTCCATGGTGGGAACAGAGTCGAAAGGCGACGACGCATACGACTGGGCAGCGGGCGAGTCGACGTATTTCGGCCAGGACATCGGCCTGCTGAAGGGCCACGAGGACATCGTCCTCGCCATGGACGTCGACTGGTCGGGCCACTGGATCGCCACGGGGGCCAAGGACAACACGGCGCGGCTCTGGCGCGTGGACCCGGCGAACCAGTCGTTCACCTGCTACGCGACATTCACGGGCCACGCGGAATCGGTCGGCGCCGTGGGCCTGCCCAAGACGGTACCGCCAGAATCCTCGGCGCAGTTCAAGGACCCGCTGAGCCACCCGCCCCCGTTCCTCCTGACCGGGTCGCAGGACCAGACGGTCAAGAAGTGGGAGATTCCGCGGCAGCAGCAGCAGGCGCAGCAGCAGCAGCAGCAGCAGCAGGGGAAGAAGGGCGGCAGCGGCTCGCGGGCTCTGTTCACGCGAAAGGCGCACGACAAGGACATCAACGCCATCGACGTGCACCCGTCGGGCCAGCTGTTCGCGACGGCGTCGCAGGACAAGACGGTCAAGATCTGGTCGGCGGCCGAGGGCGAGGTGCAGGGCATCCTCAAGGGTCATCGGCGCGGCGTGTGGTCGGTCAAGTTCGCGCCCGGCGACACCCCCATTATCCAGGGCGACGAGGGGCCGGTGGCCGGCAAGGGCGTCGTGCTGACGGGGAGCGGCGACAAGACCATCAAGCTGTGGAGCCTATCGAGCTACAGCTGCATCAGGACGTTCGAGGGCCACTCCAACAGCGTGCTGAAGGTGGCGTGGCTCAACATTCCCCGGGCGGACGACAAGAGCAGCAGCAACAACAACAACAACAACAACAACAAGAGGCCGATCCAGTTCGCCAGCGCGGCGGGCGACGGGCTGGTCAAGGTGTGGGACGCGCAGTCGGGCGAGTGCGAGTGCACGCTGGACAACCACATCGACAGGGTGTGGGCGGTGACGGTGCACCCGGGGGACAACACGATCGTGTCGGGCAGCGCGGACTCGACGGTCTGCTTCTGGAAGGACACGAGCACGGAGACGCAGGCCGAGGCGACGCAGGCGGCGCGGAAGCTGATCGAGCAGGAGCAGGAGCTGGAGAACCACGTCCGCGCCGGCTCGTACCGCGAGGCCATCGTGCTGGCGCTGCAGCTCAACCACCCCGGTAGGCTGCTCCACCTGTTCACGTCGGTGGTGACGACGAGCAAGCCGGAGGCGGGCAGCCTGAGCGGGGTCAGGGCGGTGGACGAGGTGCTGGCCAGCTTGGCGGACGAGCAGATCTTCCTGCTGCTGCTGCGGCTGCGGGACTGGAACACCAATGCGAGGACGGCGCCGGTGGCGCAGCGGATCCTGTGGGCGCTCGTGCGGAGCTACCCGGCGGCGAGGCTGTCGAACCTGTCGGTCAAGGGGGCGCGGGGGCAGAAGAGCCTGGGCGAGGTGCTCAATGCGCTCAAGGTGTACACGGAGAGGCATTACAAGCGGATGGAGGAGCTGGTGGACGAGAGTTATCTGGTGGAATATACCCTGCAGGAGATGGACGGCCTGGCACCTGCCTTGGACGATGTGGTGATGCGAGATGCGGAGGATGGCGGTAGGGACGTTATTATGGCGTCGTAGTATAGAGCCTGTATAGAACGCAAAAGGAAAAGACGACTTACGTGACCTGGCTGCATTAGTTTTCAGTGGTCAATTTCTCTTTAAAAGCTTCGTGTAAGGTGGTATTTTCTGTCAGGAATTGAATTTTTTTAATTTAATGTCGGAATATCGTTGATTTCAAACTCCTCGTCGCTCGGTGGTCGTGGATTTCCACTCTGGAAATGTCGGAATAGCCTCAAGTTAAGCTAGGGGCGTGGTCTCAGCTTTGTGATGGGAGTGGCTCTAATAAAGGAACATCACCTGTACCATTGTGTACGTGTACTTTTTAGGTACTTTGTGCTTTTTACTTGTACTTTGTACTTTGTACATTGTACCTCACTCCCATCCGTGCTTTGTATCTTTTTCCCAAACTGCAACTTTTTTGCCTTGGACAAATTCGAATTCCATCTTCAACCGCCCCATCATCCATCCCGACACCCTACGCGAATGATACCCGACCGTCCTATCTTCCCATCTTACGTCTCGTCCATATACAGCGATACTTTGTTTTTCTTTTCTTCTTCTTTCCAACATGGACTCGGTCCGTCGTAAGAGACAGGCAATCGATGCGCTCGATGAAGTCGCGGGCACCGATTCTCCTGCGTCAAAGAAGTCCAGGTTAGGAGATGTTCAGATGACCGACGGCCGTACATCGCCCACGCAGAATGGCCAATCTGAAGAAAAGTCAAGAGAGGAGATTCAAGAGAGACCAGGACCAGCCCCAGCCAACGGGGAGACGACAGCCGATGTAGACGACGATGCCGAACCCGAACCCGACGCCGACGCCGACGCCGACGCCGACCAGGCTCCCATCAGCGCACCGATCCGACAATCCGCGCCCACCGACGGCTACGACGACCTCTACCTCGACACCATAGATCGCAACGTGTTAGATTTCGACTTTGAGAAGCTATGCTCCATCAGCCTGTCCAACATCAACGTCTACGCCTGTCTCGTCTGCGGCCGCTACTACCAAGGCCGCGGCCCCAAGTCCCACGCCTACTTCCACGCCCTCGACGAGGACCACCACGTCTTCATCAACATGCAAACCCAAAAGGTCTACGTCCTGCCCGAGGGCTACGAGGTGAAGAGCAAGGCCCTCGACGACATCAAATACGTCTCCGACCCGCGCTACACCAGACAGGAAGTCGCCGAGCTGGACCGCCGGAAGACCCTCTCCTGGACCCTGGCCGGCAAGGAGTACGCCCCGGGCTACGTCGGCATGAACAACATCAAGGAGAACGACTACCTCAACGTCGTCGTGCAGGCCCTCGCCCACGTCGCTCCCCTGCGCAACTACTTCCTCCTCGAAGACCTGTCCCCGCCGCGTTCCGAGCTCGCGCGCCGCGCCGGCATCCTCCTCCGCAAGATCTGGAACCCGCGCGCCTTCAAATCCCACGTCTCCCCGCACGAGCTCCTGCAGCAGGTCGCCCTCGACTCGGGGAAACGCTTCACGCTGACCCAGCAGTCCGACCCCGTCGACTTCCTCTCCTGGTTCCTCAACCACCTGCACCTGGGGCTCGGCGGGTCCAAGACCAAACCGGGCAGCTCCATCATCCACCGCGTGTTCCAGGGCAAGGTCCGCGTCGAATCGCAAGCCATCACCGCCCGCGCCGACGCCGGCGACCGCCTCCGCTTCGAAGAAGCCGCCGAGGTCCGCGTCGACACCTCCCGCTTCCTCCTCCTGACCCTCGACCTCCCCGCCGCCCCGCTCTTCCAGGACGAGAACAACCGCAACATCATCCCCCAGGTGCCCCTGTCCCGCATCCTGTCCAAGTACGACGGCCGCCACGCCCAGGAACACCTCGCCCAGCGGAAGCGCTACCGCCTCCTCCACCCGCTCCCGCCCTACCTCGCCTTCCACGTCAAGCGCTTCAGCAAGAACAAGTTCGTCGCCGAGCGGAACCCCACCATCGTCACCTTCGACGCCCGCGGCGGCCTCGACCTCGCGCCCTACGTCGAGCCCGACCCGCGCCAGCACCCGCCCGGGGAACCCGTCTGGTACGACCTCGTCGCCAACGTCGTGCACGAGGCCGTGCGCGCGCACCGCGAGGACGTCGCCGACGCCGTGGGCGAGGAGCGCAAGACGTGGAAGGTGCAGCTCCGCGACAAGGCCCGCGACCAGTGGGTCGTCTGCCAGGATTTGTTCGTCGAGAAGGTCCAGAGCGAGCTGCTTTACCTCGGGGAGACGTATCTGCAGATTTGGGAGCGGAGGAGGACGCCGAGGGATACCAAGGGGAAGGCCGAGGCGGGTGTGTAGGGTGGGGGCTGTATGTACGTACTGTGTGTATTGTACGTACTGTGTATATACTGTGTAAGTGTGTGTATGGTCTTGTACAAATAGACCAGAATTCGAACCACAACGGAGATTATATTCATATGAGATATTCATGGAGAAATGACTTATGACTTTTATCTTCCTTTTTTTATCTTTTGTTTTATCTTTTTTTC